TTTACAGGAGAAATCCAGTTCCTTCTCGCATATAAATCTCTTTGTGATATTTTAATGTGAACTATAAATGGATCCATTGTATTTATTTTTAAAAGTCATCTCTATTGATGGCAAGAATAACTACAAATATAATGTCATTTAGAGAAGTTGCCTTATCTCCCTAACTGGCCTTTTCTGAGGTCAGTCATCTTAGACACTTTCCGGGCTCCCCAAACCCCTCATCCATTCATCTCTGGCCCACCGGCATTACAGTAATTACATAGATGGCAGAGGAATTGTTACCAGATAATATCTTAGAAGTAGGGAAATTATGAGCTAATTTCAGGCCATCTCAAATTAATGAGAATGTTCTTTGTGGAGTGCTACCAATGTAAACCTTTAAAGACTGACGAGTGGGAGAAATTTAAACCCTTTATCTCCGGAGCTCGGAGCAAGCTCCGCAAGTGCACCCAAGTGCTGTTACCTGCCAGTGGCGAGGGGGGCTCTTTTATCTTCCTTCTGGGTTTTATTAATTAAAAGTTCCTCTGTGACTTGGCTGTCATCGGCAACCTCTCTTGAGGTGCAGAAAGAGGGGCTGTCGGGGGAGGAAGTGAGGTTCTGAGACATGACTGGGTCTGTCGGACCAGCATCTGGGCCGGGAGGACCCTAAGCCAGGGAGACGGCTGGCCGACCCAGTGCCGCCCTCCTGCATGGTCTGGACTGCCTCCAGCTTGGGTTTTGCATCTTTGATCCTGTTTTATTGACCTGGAATTACTTGTCTTCCATGGGCATGACCAAAGGATGCTCTTTAATGTGGTTGTCTCCAAGCAGTTGATTCCTTTGATCTCAAGATGATTTCCTGCTTTCCCTCATCTTCTATTTTGGTGGGGGGGTGGGTGCAGGAGGTGGGCATCAGAGGGGGAAGTGGAGAAGCCTGATGTGTTCTGGGCACTGAGCTAGCCCTGTTGGATGGCTGGTGCATTTATTTTTGCAGGTCCTTCTGCTTAGGGTGCTGCCTCTCCACCACCACCACCACCACCACCACCACCACCATCCCTAACCCATCAGGGGCGGCTCCAACATTTCTACTGGGGAGCAGCGGTTAGGGCGTACAGTCTGTTTGGAAGGGCTGACATAATTTTATGTGAGATTGAGAAAATTCAGTTGCCCATACTGAGAGTGAGAGGGCCAGTGCTGTGAAGGTTATGAAGGTCGAAGCCTGTGCCCGGAGCCCTGGTTCCTCTTTGGTGTCCTCTGCTCCCCATCTCCACGTGCTCAGACACTTCCTTCTCTGGGACGTTACCTTCTTGCCCACCGCCTTTCCTACTCATCTCTCCCTTCTTATTCATTTATTTATGCCCATGGGTATGTATGTGCATGCTCAGTTGTGTCTGACTCTTTGTGATCCCTTGGACTGTAGCCCACCAGGTTCCTCTGGAATTTTCCAGGCAAGAATACTGGAATGGGTTGCTATTTCCTTCTCCAGGAGATCTTCCCAACCCAGGGATCAAAGCTGGGTCTGCTGCATGGCAGGCAGATTCTTTACCACTGTGCCACCTGGGCAGCCCCGTTTATGCCCATAATCAAAACGTTATTGAAAAACGGATACCAAAATAGAGCACTATTGCATACCTTACACAATTAAACGTCATTCCATTATCTTGGTAGATGAGAATTGCTGAGCGGGTGAGGATTTCTGTGATAGAACACAAATTCAGGAAGTTGTATGGATCGTTGATGTTGCTTCCTTCTAAATGCACACCTTCTGTGAGGCTGGCCTTCCCTCCCATCACCTGGCACAGCACTGTTGAACAACCTGCAGTAAGCACAGTCGTCTGAACATGACTGAGAGCCATATAATCCTGTAACAACCTGGGCATTCTGCATAAAGTCAGAATTTGGACTTTGAACCAGCCATTTCTTTTTATGTTTTTTCTTTTATTCTTCCAAGGAAGGGTGCAGTAAATCTCTAGCCAAAGGCATGTTGATCCTTTCGCAAGCCCAGCCCATCCAGATCTCTAAGGCGACATTCCCAGGGAGCAACATACCCCTGGGCTCACAGCATCCTCTTTCTTCTTCTTTTTATAATATTTATTTGGCAGCTCCAGGTTTTAGTTGAGATGGATGGGTTTAATGGCCCCGAGCCAGGTGGGATCTTAGTTCCCTGACCCAAGGGATCGAACCCAAGTCCTCTACGTTGCAAGGCAGATTCTTAACCACTGGACCACCAGGGAAGTCCCCTTCCTTTTTCCTTGAACGGAACTTTTACTCCTTTCCAAGTTAATGTGCTCTCAGAAATCTCTCTGGGTTCAAACATTGGCTCTTTTGTCTCCTGTCTCTCTGACTTTGAACAGGTTATTTGGTTTTTCAGCAGTACAATGGATTAGTGATCGACCCCAACTCTTGTTGGTTGTGGGTATTCAGTGAGCCCATGAAGCCTCTGGAAGTTGGTGCTCTGTAGATGCCCATTCACAGGTCCCTGCCAGCTCATTCAGCCTGGTGCATGAATGAGAAAAAGGTTCCTCTTCCTCCTGGATTTCTGCCCTTTCTCACCTGATTAGCCTGCTGCCCTTGCTCTGTGAGCATGGGGGCCCCACTCATTGTGGTTAAAGCCGCTGATGCTGTCATCATGCTCCCAGCTTGGTGGGTGATCACATCCATCCAGTCGCACAACTGACTCTCACTCCACATGCCACTGGTCATTTGAAGTCTTCTCGTCTCCGCCTTTGTTAATGTCTTTAGGACCTTCCCGTTAACTTGGCTATCCTCAGCCTAAGTTATGCCCTGATTGGATTTTCCCTAAATAATTACTCCAATAATAAATCTTTATTCAAAGTCCTGCATTCAGTCTTGTACACCTTCCCACAAACCACAGTATTTTCCTGAGATGGAAATTCGGTTTTCATTTCTTAATTTAAAATCCTGCCAGTTCTCCCCATTTCTCCTGGAAAAGTCCAAAAGTGTAGCATACAAGGCATCCGGTGGGGCCATACCTGGCTGTGCGATGCCACGTCTCATCTCTTTACCAACCCTCCTCTCCGTAGACTTGTCCCCTTCCCCAGCAGTGGTCCAGCGGTATTGTGAACATTTCAGTTGAGCAATTGATGTCAGTGTCGATGATCTAAAGTATAAAGAGCTCAAATAAGTCAATTTTAAAAGTTAAAAACCAGCAAATACTTCACCAACCACAGACAGTTCACAAAGTACAGACAACTAGTACATATACTCACACCCATAGAAAAATCTTGAGTTCTATCAATAGTCAAAGAAATTAGAATTCAAAAACATTTTTCATATAATAATTAGACAAATTAATTTTAAAAGTTAATTTGCATTATTGACCAAAGATCTGTGATACATCAAAACTCCCAGTGAGGGGCAGGGGGGACAGACCCGATTGGAACACAAGGCAACTTTGGGCTGATTGAGGTGATAGAAATGTTCTGTATCTGGATTGTAATGGTGGACACATGTAGTGTAATACTGATCAGAAACTCATTGAAAAATATCCTTCAAATCGGTGCGTCTTACTGTACATAAACTCTAAGTCAAACATGAATTTTTAGAAGTTTTTAAATTTTTAAACTTTTATTATTTTTGGCGGCCCTGGATCTTTGTTGCTGCTCGCAGGCTTTCTCTTGTTGCAGCGGGTGGAGGCTGCTTTCTGGTTGTGCGCAGGCTTCTCATTGCGGTGAGGAGAGCTCATGGCAGCTCTTCTTGTGCAGAGCTCAGGCCCTGGAGTGCACAGGTTCAGCTATGTGGTGCACCAGCTTAGTTGCCCCCATGGCATGTGGAATCTTCCTGGACCAGGGCTCAAACCCATGTCCCCTGTATTGGCAGGCAGATTCTTAACCACTGGACCACCAGAGAAGTCCTCAAACCTGAATTTAAAAACAACCTCATTAACCAGAATTAGGAGAACAAGACCCATACGTACACTGGGATTCTGGGTTGAGGGTAGGGTGATAACATCAGTCCGTTTCGTCTTTCTGGAAGGTAATCTGCTGCTGCCATTTAAGAAAACAAATCCTGACATGGTAATTTTCCTTCTAGAACAGCATCCTAAGAATCATGAATTCAAAGATGTGTATCTAATATTTGTCACAGCAGCAATAGCAGCTAAAAACTGGGGAAAGAACCAGAATGTCCTTCAATAGGTGACTGATTACATTATGATTCATCTGCATAGGGCATTGCCAGCCCAGGAGGACCCTTTGTGTGAATCAGAAAAAGGCATCCCTCTGGGGCAAATGCTCCATCCCAAACTTGAGGGGGACATCAGCTAAATTCTAGCCCCACTGGTTCCCTCACCTGGGCTCCTGGGCAATTCTCAGGCTGAAAGCAGCATCTCTGATCCATAGGATGGTCCACGAGGCAGATATTAGAACTGCTGTCTTTGAAGAACAGCGGCATGGGGAACTGTTAAATAACAAATGGGAAGTTAAATGATAAATATAGGTGTGATTTTATATGTAATTCTACTTTTCTTCAAAAATAAAATCACTGGGAGGAAACTTAGTATGCATGCATACTAAGTCACTTTAGTCGTGTCCAACTCTTTGCGACCCACTGGACCCCATGGACAGGCCCTTCTGTCCATGAAATTTCCCAGGCCAGAATATTGGAGTGGGTTACCATTTCCTTCTCCAGGGGATCTTCCGGTCCCAGGGATCAAACTCACATCTCTTATGTCTACCTGTATCAGCAGGCGAGTTCACATGGTTAACGTGAATGACAGAATCATGGTGACTTTCTCTTTCTTACCTGCTTTTTCTAAATTTTCTTGCTGTTAGTACTTTTTTTAGTTGTGAAAAAGCATACATTCTTACTCTCCTATTTGATAAGACTCTATTGTGCTGATACCTGTGACAGTGGTCTCAAGAGCAGATGGTACTTCTGGGCTAGAGTTAAGGCAAGAACCTTGGGAGCAGAGGATGAGGGCCGCCTTGCTGAAGTCCCAGCAATCCCTTTGGTAAATGGAGGTGTCTCTTACTTTGTCCTTTGGTCTTTGTGTCCTTCAGGTTTGAGACGTTTGAGGTGAACAGCTTCGAGCAGTTCTGTATCAACTACGCCAATGAGAAGCTCCAGCAGCAATTCAACTCGGTAGGTTTTTCAGGACCCGGAGATGTCAAGAGGAGGCAGGAGTCAAAGACAACCCAGCCCACTTCTCTTCCGTCCAGGGTCAGTGGGCTCCAGCTCGGCCCTGACCTGCCCTTGGTTTCCTGGTGGTGCCCCAGCTCTAGGCAGGCACTCCCCACAGCTCATATGGAGGTCGGAATTGAGACAGCTGGGTCAAGAGGGTCAGTGATCCTCTCCTTGACTTTGACGTCCACTATTTTTGAGCTTCTGGGGTATTTGAACAATCGCAAGCCAGCTGTGAGGCTTCTTGTGATTGGTTGAGGTATGACAGGTGAGTCGTAGAACGTTCTAGGGAAGGGCTCACAGGGGAGTAGGGCTCACCTTTGTTGTTGCCCAGTTGTCTGCCACTCTTTGTGACCCCACGGACTGCAGCACGCCAGGCTTCCCTGTCCTTCACTGTCTCCCAGATTTGCTCAAACTCATGTCCACTGAGTTGGTGATACCACCCAAGCATTTCATCCTCTGTTGTCCCCCTCTTCTCCTGCCCTTCGTCTTTCCCAGCATCAGGGTCTTTGCAAATGAATCGGCTCTTCACATCAGGTGGCCAAAGTACTGGAGCTTCAGCATCAGTTCTTCCAATGAATATTCAGGGTTGATTTCCTTTAGGATTGACTGAGATCACCCAAATGGGCCTTTTTATTTCTGCAGTCATGACTGTGACTGGTGCCCAAACCCTTTCTGAGGAGTATATCCCATCCTCCGGCACTCAGAACCCATGTGGTTGAAGCTCAGGGAAGTTGAAAATTAAGGTATGTCTGTAGTTCACTGACCTGACTTTTCCCTTCTTACACTAGCACGTATTCAAGCTGGAGCAGGAGGAGTACATGAAGGAGCAGATCCCCTGGACCCTGATAGATTTCTACGATAACCAACCTTGTATTGACCTCATAGAAGCTAAGCTGGGCATCTTGGACCTGTTGGATGAAGAATGTAAGGTAAAACTGATGATGTCATTGAATCGGTTCAATTCTAGGCTTGGGGTTGTGGGGCAGAGGACAGCTGTGTGGTGCAAGGGAACATGTGAGATCTCAAGACTGGAGTTTCATCTGATTAGTCGGCCTTTAGCTTGCTGGGAGAAGCCTTGGTGTCTATTCTGCATACTAAGAGGTACCAGAAGGTAACACATTGAGCGTGACTGGCAGGTATTGCTACATTGGTGAGAATGTCTTTGGCAGAGGCTGGGTGTTAAGGATTGGCATGATGTGATAGTGGTATGGATTTGGTGCCCCACATCTCCCAGGTGCTGAGGAAGGACCCCGACTTCTACATAGGCATCCCAGAGAGGGAGGGTCAAGAGCCCAGGACCGTCTTTACCATGCAAGGTGGCTTGTGAGTGCTAAGAGCTGTGTGGCTTGGTGGCAAGTGAGAGCTGTGGATTTCCCCCACGCAGCTTGTCATGGATACTACGTGCTATGACAGGAAGAGCCCTGAGCTGCCAGCATGGAGAGAACTAGGCAGCCTTGGGCGTGCGGGGCAGGGGAGCTATGTGTTATCAGCCACCCAATTGCTTTGGCCTTTGGTTTTCTGCTCTATGAATTGATGGGCGTTGGATCTGATGGTCTTCCAAACATCTCCTGGTTTGGTGTTTTGTGATTACGGTAAATGTATGCCAACTCCTTCAGGGGTGGAAACTCTAGTCAAGAGGTGTGGAAGCCACATGGGCCTCGGCATCGAAAGCCCAGTTGCTCTTACTGTCTGGTCTCTCATGTCTGGGCTGTGGAGGGTGGCTTGTAGCATGATGGTTTGGGAGGAGCAGATATTTCCTTTCCAGACACTTCTCCAGAAACTTTCACTGCCTTTGAAAGTGAAAAAGACTGAAAAGAAAACAGTGGAAGACAGGGTGAAAATACACTGAAATCCACAGCACGCTTTTACCTGATGGTTTTCAGCACATTCTCAAAGCTGGGGACTTGGTCTGGTGTCAGACTCAGGAACAGGCATTTCCTTGGGGTGACAGGGGCTGCCTTGGCTCATGCCCGCCCCCCCATGAGGTTGTGATAAAGGTGATAGGACAGTTGTCCCTGCTCGGGCAGCACCAGCCACATGACAGACATCGCAGCCCGGGCCCTCCAGCCCCTCCCACCCCGGTGTGCACCGCTCCCTCATCTCGGTTCCGCGTCCGCGGCCAGCAGCTCCCTTCTGACACTCGGTGGGAGCGTGCTCCCCTCCCCTCCTCCAGCTCCACACCCCCAGCCACGTCCTCCGTCCGGTTCCGGGCCTCTGAACTGGCACAGCCCCCCAGGCCTGGCTCCAGGAGGGCTCTGGCTCTTTCCTCCCTTACCCAGCGGTGATGTCCAAGAGCCGACAAGGCTCTGAGCCGGCGGCTCAACCTGTTCCTGCAATGAAGCGCTAACTGTGCCGCAGACCGCAGCCCCCGGGGGCCCCGGCCTGCCTTTCTCCTTACACGGGCCTCTCACAGGAGCTCCCCACTGCCTCAGGGGGACAGAACGGAGTCTGTGAAATCAGCAGCTGCCCTATCGATTTTCCCTGATCTCCCCTGCCTTTGGCAGGGAAGCCAAGGTCACTTGTGGGTTTGTTTTGGCTCCTGGTTTGAGCTTCTCAGAGGTGCCGCTGCCCAAGGCAGCGTGTCCCCGGAATGTCAGGCTGCAGCGGTGAGAACGCTGGACATGCCACAGTGAGAGGCCTCAGGCTGCTGTCCAGAGGTGGGGGGACCCAAGCCCCTCGGTGCTGGAGTGGTGTGCGCCCATTGCTGCACGGGACTGGGGAGCTGGTGGTTCTGGGGGTGCTGGAGGACGGCTTAGCAGTGCGGCTGAAAAGTAGGCAGTGGTTTCAGGGAGGGCCAGGGTGCAAACATGCAGCAGTTTTGGAAGCATCCTCCACAAAGCCCTGGACTTTGCAGCCTTTTGTATTCCCGGTGCAGCGGATCCCCACACCTTCCTGTCTGTCTTCCTACCGAGTGCACACTGCCTGCGCTACTTTCCAGAAGCCGAGGGGAAATAAAACCCAGCTGTGTCTGTATATGGTCTCTGCCTTATGCTCTATGGTGCCTTTTATTTGGGTCAAATTTTTAAAATTAGGGGATTTAAGTTTCAGACCATATCCAACTCAAACCCCTGCGAAACCCCCAGAAGGTATTGGTTTGGCCAAAAAATTCATCTGAGTTTTTCTATAACATCTTATGGAAAAACCTGAATGAAATGTTTGGCCAACTCAATATTATGCACCTACTGTATATCTGGTCTTGAGGGGAAAGCACTCAGGAGAAGGGACAGGGGTCTTGCTGCCAGCCAGCAAAGGGTGAAGAGGGACAGGATGGTACTTGGGAAGAGCCTGGCCTGAGCGAGGGGCCCACGGAGGGCTGTGGGCAGGGCCCAGGGCCCAGGGCCAGCTGAGTGACCTCAAGGGCAGGCACAGCAGGCCAGAAAGAGTGCTGAGCCGCACACGGCCACGGGAGTTCTGCTAGATGCTTCCCTGTCCCTGAGGCTCCTTAGAAGGGAGATCTGAGGATAAGCTGGGGTTTCCTGCTAGTCCCCAGGGGACGGAGGTGTGCGCCCAGAGCGTCGAGATAGATCGGGACGGTGCTGTGAGTGTGACCCATGCAGCCTCACTGGCCGCCAAGTCACGGGTGTAGCAGGGGAGGCCAGATGAACCCCAAGTTATAGGACTAAGACACGAGCCCACAGTGTGGAAACCATTTTCTGTGAGATGTAGCTGCTGTGGGAATTCAGGGTCATTCAGTATAACTGGATACAGCGTCTAGTAACAGATGGATTTTTAAAATCGTTTGTTTATTTTTTGGCTGCGCCGGGTCTCCGTTGCCCCGCACGGGCCTTCTCTCCCGACGCTGCTCTCTAATTGCCGTGTGCAGGCTGCTCACTGCAGTGGCTTCCTCGTTGTGGAGCGTGGGCCCCAGGTGAGCAGGCTTCAGACGTTGTGGCGCATGAGCTTAGCTGCTCTGTGGCATGTGGAATCTTCCTGCCCCCTGCATCAGCAGGTGGATTCCTAACCACTGGACCACCAGAGGAATCCCAATAGATGGATTTTTAACCAATAGCTATTGCTTTTGTCAGAAGCCATGAAACTGTACACTTTAAAGGGTACATTTTGCTGTATGGAAATTGTACTATAATAAGTCTGATTTATAAATCCTTCTCTTGGAGGAACGAACTAGCAATGACTGATAGGAATTGACACGTCAGTGCGTGTTTTCTCGTAAGTGACATCCTTGCATTTGAGCAGGAATTTTGTGAAAATGAGACCTTGACCCCTAGAAGCAATTCCAGCAGGTGAAGACACACTGTCTCAGGCTGGAGAGACAGAGGCAGGCCTGAGTCAGGGAGGCAGACTCTGCCCTGTTGACTGGGATCCTCTCGTTTCGTGGAGCCCAGTCCGAGGAGCCGATGAATATGGACCTTCCTGGTTATGATGTCGTTGTTGAGGTGGTAGAAGGACAGCAGGCTGCACTCGGGAGTGAATACCTGCTGTCTCCTGACCTGCTCCAGCCTGCTCTCGTGAGAGCTGACTGAATACTTGCTGTCGCCTGACCTGGTCCAGCCTGGGCTCATGAGAGCTGATTTTGGATGAAGACCAAGGCCTTGTGGTTTCTCCAGACGCAGCCCCAGGGCGGCTGGCTGTGAGCAGGTTTGAAGCCTGTGGTGGATGGAGGGGAAGCGGCTCCCACCTTCATCCGCCTGACAAACCCCAGGTTCCCTTCAGCGCGCCTCTGAGGGGTCAGGTGAACAACACGATCATCTCCCGAGCTGATGGGGAAATGGAAACACTGAGATGAGAGGGCGGTGGTAGGGGGGAGCGCCCCCAGAGCGGCTGTATAAGCAGGGGTCACACGAGGGGAGAGGCGCCCTGGGCACAGGGGATGTCGTGTTTGCAGAGCCTGAGATGGTCTGGTTTGTCTGAGGCCCGCGGTGGTGGCCGGCGAGGATGGGAAATGGAACCATGGAGAAGAGGAGACTTGGCCTCACCTGCCCAGCAAAGGTGTCTGGGGGATGGAAGGGAGTGAAGAGGGGGAGAGACACGATCGGATGTGACTGACTTTTCAGCAGGGCTCCCTGACAGCCGTGTGGAAGGTAAGCTGGAGAGAAACCGTGGAGTCAGCAGAGCACCGGCCACACCGCGGTTGTTCTGCCGGGAGGAGGCGCCGAGAGCTTTTGGCTGAGGAGGGATGCGGCGGGTGAGGGCCTCGCCGGCCCGCACGTGACAGCCAGTTGTTGGTCGGAGCAGTTTCTAGGGACTTGTCTGGGCAGAAGTCTGACTTGGGTAACACGAGGAGCGAATGGGAGGTGAGGCGGTGGAGGTGGCAAGTCTGAACTCCTAAGGGGGAGCTGAGAGAGAGGGAGGGCAGGAGAGGCTCCAGGAGAGGGAAGATGGGCGGCTCCTGGTCCCCAGGAGGCAGGGGTGTGTGCTCAGGAGGCCAACCGGAAGGAGAGGTGCTCCCTCCCTGAGGAGGGTCCGAGGTGTCGTGGTCTGATGAGTGTCTGAATATAGAGCAGGAATGTGAGGTTTCCTGCTTCCCTGTGAGGGAGGAGACGGGGCATCTGCTGAGAGGCAGCAGGGTTAGAAGTTCGAGGAGAACAGAGGAGGTGGGGACAGGCTGTCCTCCAGGGAGGGACAAGGAATACCAAGTGCAGAGATGTGAGGTTGGAGACTATCAGAGAGTGAGAGGTATGTAGGTGCTGTCAAGGCACGGTCGAAGTCCCCTTCAATCTGGGCACAGCGTCTTAATCTACAGAAGTGCTGCTCACCCTGGAATTAGATTTTCTTTTTTGGCACTAATACTAAGTTATACTCAATTACCAGCAGAAGTTGATGAAGGGAAGGGAAGTTGGTGTGTGATCTCAGCCAGCCACCCAGGTCTGGGAAAGGCCAGGATGGGTGGCTGGGTTGCACTCAGTTGAGTTCACTTCAGTTGCTCAGTCGTGTCCGACTCTTTGCGACCCCATGGACTGCAGCATTCCAGGCCTCCCTGTCCATCACCAGCTCCCAGAGTTTACTCAAACTCATGTCCACTGAGTCGGTGATGCCATCCAACCATCTCACCCTCTGTCATCCCCTTCTCCTCCTGCCTTCAATCTTTCCCAGCATCAGGGTCTTTTCTAGTGAGTCAGTTCTTTGCATTAGGTGGCCAAAGTATTGGAGTTTCAGTTTTAGCATCAGTCCTTCCAGTGAATATTCAGGACTGATTTCCTGTGGGATTGACTGGTTTGATCTCCTTGCTGTTCAAGGGACTCTCAAGAGTCTTCTCCAACACCACAGTTCAGAAGCATCAATTCTTTGGCATTCAGCTTTCTTTATAGTCCAACTCCTCACATCCATATATGACTACTGGAAAAACCATAGCTTTGACTAACACAGATCTTTGTTGGCAAAGTAATGTCTCTGCTTTTTAATATGCTGTCTAGGTTGGTCATAACTTTCCTTCCAAGGAGTAAGCGTCTTTTAATTTCATGGCTGCAATCACCATCTGCAGTGATTTTGGAGCCCCCAAAAATAAAGTCTGCCACTGTTTCCACTGTTTCCCCATCTATTTGCCATGAAGTGATGGGACCAGATGCCATGATCTTAGTTTTCTGAATGTTGAGTTTTAAGCCAACTTTTTCACTCTCCTCTTTCACTTTCATCAAGAGGCTCTTCAGTTCTTCTTTACTTTCTGCCATAAGGGTGGTGTCATCTGTGTATCTGAGGTTATTGATATTTCTCTCTGCAATCTTGATTCCAGCTTGTTCTTCATCCAGCCCAGCATTTCTCATGATATACTCTGCATATAAGTTAAATAAGCAGGGTGACAACATACAGCCTTGACGTACTCCTTTCCCAGTTTGGAAACAGTCTGTTGTTCCATGTCCGGTTCTAACTGTTGCTTCTTGACCTGCATATAGATTTCTCAAGAGGCAGGTCAGGTGGTCTGGTATTCCCATCTCTTTAAGAATTTTCCACAATTTGTTGTGATCCACACAGTCAAAGCCTTTGGCATAGTCCATAAAGCAGAAGTAGATGTTTTTCTGGAACTCTCTTGCTTTTTCAGTGATCTAGCGGATGTTGGCAATTTGATCTCTGGTCCCTCTGCCTTTTCTAAATGCAACTTGAACATCTGGAAGTTCATAGTTCATGTACTGTTGAAGCCTGGCTTCAAGAATTTTGGGCATTACTTTGCTAGCGTGTGAGATGAGTACAATTGTGCAGTAGTTTGAACATTCTTTGGCATTGCCTTTCTTTGGGATTGGAATGAAAACTGACCTTTTCCAGTCCTGTGGCCGCTGCTGAGTTTTCCAAATTTGCTGGCTTATTGAGTGCAACAGTTTCACAGCATCATCTTTTAGCATTTGAAATGGCTCAACTGGAATTCCATCACCTCCACTAGCTTTGTTCATAATGATGCTTCTTAAGGCCCACTTGACTTCACATTCCAGGGTATCTGGCTCTAGGTGAGTGATCACACCATTGTGGTTATCTGGGTCATGAAGACCTTTTTTGTATAGTTCTTCTGTGTATTCGTGCCACCTCTTCTTAATATCTTCTGCTTCTATCTTCTGCTTCTTAATATCTTCTGGGTTGGTCTGGAATTAGTATTTTGCTGAGCATGTGAAAGGGCTGTTCTGTGAAGGTGGGAAAGTGAAGGAGGAGATGGTGTCAGGTGTGGAGGAAGGAGCCACTTCTGCCTGGAGCTGTTAGGACAGCAGAGTCCTGGAGGCCCAGCTGTCACAGAAGGATTCTGGGCTGATGCGAGCAAGGTCACCTGAGAGGTCACCGGGGGTGGGAGTCATCAGGGCACCTGCAGAGCCTGGGATGGAGTAAGCTGGTGACCGCGAAGGCTGTCTTGGTGGCACAGGCCCAGGAAGATGGGGCCAAGAAGCAGAGATGGAGTAACTGACTCTGGGCTCCTTATCAACCAGCTCTTGTCAGCTGTTGGGCTGGGGCAGGCCTTAGCCCCAGGCGATGTCTCAGGCCAGTGATGGCAGCCAGACATACAGTTTCCTACGAGGGTTCTAGGAGCGCCTTGGTGAAAAGCTGTCCTGGGCCACAGGTTTTATACCCCAGGCTGTCGGGGATGAGGGACTTAGTAAGTCCAAGGATTATTTCATTCCCCACACCTCTGTTTTTTCTGTTTTATTTCAATAGCAAAGAGTAAAATCAGGTTTAATGTATTTTAACACCTTTATTAAGATAGAATTAATGAACCGTGCAACTCACCTATTTAAAATACACAAGTCAGTGGGTTTGTTTGGTTTTTTTTTTTTGGTGTATTAAAAATTGTGCAACCATCAATTTCAGAACATTTTCATCATGCCCTAAAGATATACATTAGCGCTAATTCTCCATTCCTCCACAGCCCTAGGCAACCACGAATCTACTTCTTATCTCTACATTTGCCAATTCTAGACTTTTCATCCAGATGTGGCCTTCACCCTTGGTGTGACCAGTGACCAGCAGAGCAGGTCAGAGGGATTCACCTCCTGAGGAACAGTGCCTGCCTAGATGAAGGCAGAGCTGGAGTCCAGGCTCCTGGCCCAGTGCCTTTGGAGAGGAAGAAAGTTTGCATGAAGCTGCTGGCAGATACTTTTTTAAAAAACGATTTGATTTGCTGCATATTCCAGAACTACTGATAACCACAATCTAGATTTTATCAAAATACAAGATTTCCTTGCTATCTCCAGTGCCTGAATTAAATCTACTTGTATGGAAAGATTTTTGGAAATGACTGCTTCCCACCTAACCCTGCCTTTGTGGCTCTTTTAAAACTCTGTCCGCGGGCAGGAAAGCGCAAGTAGTGAGGAGCACATCAACCAGACTGTCCTAGCTTGAACCCCAGTTCTGCTGCTTGCCAGCTGTGTGACCTTGGGCAAGTTACCTAACCACTCTGCTTCTTCACCTGTAAAATGTGTATCGTAGCTTCCCTGGTGACTCAGATGGTGAAAAATCTGCCTGCAATGCGGGAGACCCAGGTTCAATCCATTGGTCGGGAAGATCCCCTGGAGAAGGCAGTGGCTACCCAGGCCAGTACCCTTGCCTGGAGAAGCCCATGGACAGAGGAGCTTGGTGGGCTACACTCCATGAGGTTTGCAAAGAGTTGGACATGACTGAAAAACGAATACCTAGTTCATAGGATTGAATGAGTTCATATATCAAAAATGTATAGAAAATTGCCTGGCAATAAGTTCTCTGGACATTTGCTTTTAGCATTATCTGAGATTCTTCATTCCTGTGAATTTCTGCTGGCCTTCGTTTTTAGTCAAGGATGGGGGTGAGAAGAGGGACCGACCTTTGTCAGGAAATATGTTTACATATGACCTTGGTTTCTAGCCTCTCTTACTCATTGATTCATGTAGGTCTGATTTAGGGAATATGTAGGATTATGAAATCTGCTGAGAAGCCCAATTTCACTGACAAGATAAGATGAGCTGGATACTGGCAAATGCAGGTGCTGACCCAGGGGGGACTTCTCATCACAGTCTTGCCCTTCCTGTCCTATCTGCCCGGGTCTGCCAGGACTGGGTCCACTGTGCTTCTGTTCTCCAGCTTTGCCTTCTGGGAGCTCAGCCAGCTTGACTTCTTGCTACCCCCACACCTGGTATTTCTTAACACAAGCTGCTCAACAGAGACAAATATGAAACAATATATTTAAAAATGCTGAATTAAATATATTTTATTTCATCTTCCCAATGCAATTAATAGCCTCCTTCAAGAAAAAGTTTTCTTAAAAATCCTATTGCACTTAACATTGGATATTCAGTACCAGTTATACCAAGTTGAATGTTGAGAAAAATCTGTTTGTTTACAAAATAATTGAGAAATTTGTTTTCAAGTGGATAAGCAATTTTTCATATGCACAGGTTTTATTAATTTACTAAACAAAGCCCTTTTTCAATGGCTAGTGCAAGGGTCACCTTCAACCCTGCCTGATCCAAATGTACAGTCTAAACTAATGAAAGGGCACGTCAGTTGGTGGCCTATAGCTGGGGAAGGGGTGTGTGCAGTGATGCTCAAGAATGAAGGGGGGTACCTTCACGTTTGACAAGGTGCCATCATCTTTGATAATTCAAGTGCTGGGTACAGTGGCTCTGTGTTTTGTTTTCAGCAAGATATGATGCCTTTTCACTTTTGAAGCTGTCTCTAAAGATACAGAAAGAGGCTGCCCTTCAGAATCCTTAATGGAGTGAAATCTCTGAATGTAATTTTGAGGAAGGTAGAGATTAGCACTGCATAGTTCAGTCACTAGGTACTTAGCACCCAGTTTGTGGTTGGAACCCAGTTTTAAGTTTTTTGAGGGGCAGACTTATTTCTCAAGTGCAGCAAACGTACAGTTTATAGAGACAAGACAATACACAAAACCCAGCTGATGAGCAGTGTTGGACAGTGCATGCGTAAGAACTCAACTGGGAAGAATTCCAAAGTGAAATCAAGGGTGGTCAGGAAAGGCTCCAGAGAAAAGGACAGACTTGAGCTGAGCCTGGACACTGGTGTTCAGATGAGACAGAGAGCAGTCTGTCCTGCTACAGGAGTTGGCCTGAGCGAGCAGGAGCTTGGACTAGAGATGGGGTGATGTGTTCATGACCCCGAAGTCACTGGCCCCACCAGAACGAAAAAGCATCTTCAGATTTATCCCGTGGGTTGTGATTCTGCTCTTGTGACCTTGGCCTTCACCCTCGTCCTCTCCCAGCTCTTCCAGCACCTGCCTACCGGCGGGTTCCCTGAGACTCGGTGCACGCCTATAGATGTCACAGGAGCCAGCACGCAGGGCATGTTGAGTGTGCTATGTGGGATCCCAGGTGTCCATGGTTGAGTCCGCTTTCCACAACCAGTTAGGGACCGGGTCTTAGGTCCCTGAATCCAGCCTCGTTGAGGTCAACTTCCTGGCAGACTCCATCACCCTGCCTCCACTCTTGACTTCCTTTTTCCTTTTCACAAAACCCCTGATTTTGTGAATCCACAGGTCCCCAAAGGAACCGACCAGAACTGGACTCAGAAGCTCTACGACAGGCACTCTGGCAGCCAGCACTTCCAGAAACCCCGCATGTCCAACAAGGCCTTCATTGTCATCCACTTTGCAGATAAGGTGGGTCTTCTCATGGTGGGCTCAGCACTCCGAGAGCCCCACCCTCAGGGACTTGGGGTTCTTGGGCTGAGAGGGAGCTGACCTTTGAAGTCAGGTAAGTGGCCTGGAGTCTCTTGGGTGGGACCTTGTCTAGCCTCCTGGAACCTGAGAGAGGAAAGAGTGGTTCCTTCTCCATGTGGCTCCTTTCCCAACAGCTGGTGTAGACTTAGAATTTCTCCTTGTGGATTGTGTTCTATATGCACTAGCCCAGTGCTTCTCAAATTTTCACATGCATGTACGTCACCAGGTCTTGCTCACAGGCAAGTTCTAATTCAGTAGATCTGTCCTGAGGCTGACAAGCTGCATGAGAGCACGCAAAGGAAGCCTTCTATCCAGGCCCATCTTATGGGAGCTCCTTTTTGAAACAATGTGTTATTTGCTCTGTCCTGTCGGACTCTTTGCAACCCCATGGACTATAGCCCACCAGGCTCCTCTGTCCATGGAATTCTCCAGGCAAGAATACTGGAGTGGGTAGCCATTCCTTTACTCCAGGTGATCTTCCCAACCCAGGGATCAAACCCAGGTCTCTGCCTGCATTGCAGGCAGATTCTTCACTGTCTGAGCCGCCAGGGAAGCCCAGAACAATGTTGTTGTTATTCAGTCACTCAGTTATGTCTGACTCTCTGCAACCCCATGGACTGCCGAAGAATGTGGTTTTCCACAAAATGAATATTCAACTCCCTCTGTAAATCTTGGTATGTATTGGGTTTGCATTTTACATGAGAGCATCCGTGGGTTTCCCATGTACACACAGCTCTTTTCAGAAGACGCTGTGGATGAGATGAAACCACTGGAGATGCTGCTGAGGTCCCCGGGTCAGGCAGGAGTGTTAACTACCCTTTCTGTTTCCGGCTGTGGCCCCAGGTGGAGTACCTTTCAGATGGTTTTCTGGAGAAAAACAGAGACACCGTGTATGAAGAACAGATCAACATCCTGAAGGCCAGCAAGGTAAAGAGCTCCGCAAGTGGAGAAATAGAAGCGGAGCATCCAGGCCAGAGCTGGGCAGGGTGCGGTCAGTGCCGGCCCCAGTCTGGAGCGTGGTGGGGGAGGTGAGGGGCCTGCAGGTCGTTTCAGTCTGAGAATTTCAGGATGGCCTGATGAAAGGAAGGAAGCAAGGGATGGCAGAGGCAACTGGGAAAGGTACCAGCTAATGGAAGGATGTGGGAGTTGGGGGACCAGTCTGGAGGGGTGATGGTGGGTCTAACTGTGGAGACGTTGCAGGCATCCATTGTGTCATTTGTCTTCCATCTCCTTGGAGCAGATGTAAAAGTACTTAAACCCCTTCAGATCCTAGTTTCAGTGCCTTTGATTTCAGCTTAGTGGTCTGTGGAACCTTCCTACAGCCAGAAATGTAAATGGAACAGTAGGATTCAGGGGACCCTTCCATCTACAGTTCTGGAATGTTGCTTTCTAAGACCTCCAAAATTTCAGTTATTTCCTTCTCATGAGCATAACACAAAGGCAGCAAATATTGTGTCCATTCTACAGATAGAAAGACCAAAGTACCGATTGACCTAAACACATTTATTAAGCACCTACCTGGTGAGGTGCGGCCCTGAATATACCTGTAGGCATTTACATTCTGTTGTGGGCTGGGGGTGGGCAGGTGAACAAACCTACAGTAACTGAAAGGAGAGGCGGCCTGGGCTGGGGAAGCACAAGGCCTGCTGGTCCGGAAAGCCCCCTTGCTGACGCTCGGAGGCAGGAGCTGATGCTGGCCACAGCCCTTCGGAGGAAGCCCAGGAAAGGACCCTCCAGGAATCCGGAGGCTTTCTCCCAGACCGCATGACACCACACTCACTGCGGAGGCCTGATAACACTGCAAGTGGCAGATTAATTTCTCTTTGTGATAAGCTGTAGATGAATGCCATAGGGCTGAGACGATGGAATGCAGAAAATACACCTGAGGATGGACCCAGGCATCTAGAGGCAGGTAAATCACGTGGCCAGGGTTTTAGGGAGGATTTGAGACATTACCAGCAATGTGGGCAGCCCGGGGTAAACCCTGGCCCGTGTCATCTCCCCACATCTAGAGAATTAGTCATCACTGAGACAAACTTGCTTTGGGTAAATGTGCATGTCAATGTGAGATTAACCCCTCACCTTGCCAAGTGTCCGGCCCTCTAGTCCACGGTGGTTAACGTGACTTTTTCCATTCTTTGCAAGAAAGGTGAGGGATGGGAGGGGAACCACAGTGAGAGCATAGAAGTGGATGGTTTGAGCCCCAGGGAGCACATTTCCTCATCCTGTGTGTCTTAGAAGTAGAGGCCTGTGACCTCCTGTTACTGTGACAGTGGCCCTAGAAGGCTGAGAAACTCTTCTTTCTTGTGACGAGCTTCTCCTGTCGGGGAGCAGCAGAAGTGAGGGACCGGGGGAGGGTGTCAGGTACTTTCCGTTAAGTGCGGCGTCTGGTTCTGCCATTGATTTTTGTCTTAGTCTGAGTGTCCCTCGGGGATTCCAGTATCTAGAAGGGATCTAGAAGGGAATCTCTCACACTCTTGTCTCCAGCAGATTATGTTATTAGCCACTGAGTTTTTTTCCCCTTATTTTTATTTAACAAACTTTATTAAACATTTGTGTGATATATAGTGGTAACAAGTACATGTAGTTAACCTCACGGAACTTACAGTCAAGTGAAAAGATGTACAGTTTGATCATAAGTTTTGGTGATGCTGTGAAGGTCAGGAAGAAGGTTCTATGGGAAAGCATAATAGGAATGTGCTGGCAGTCCCCATGGTCACCTCTAAATTGCACCATTTGCTAGGAAGACTCACAGAACTCAGCCATAGTGCTCATGGCTATGATTTATTACAGCAAATGGATATAAGCAAATCAGCAAGAGGGAAGGTGCCTGGGGTAATGACCAGGGAAACCAGGTGTGAGCTTCCAGAGTCCTTCCCTGGGGGGAGTCCCGCTGAATATGCTTATTTTCCACAGCAGCACCTTGTGATGATGCCTGCTGCCACTGCTGAATCACTTCCATTGTGTCTGACTCTGCAACCCCATGGACTGTAGCCTGCCAGGCTCCTCTGTCCATGGGCTTCTCCAGGCAAGAATACTGGAGTGGGTGGCCGTGCCCTCCTCCAGGGGCTCTTCCCAACCCAGGGATCGAACCTATGTCTCTTACCTCTCCTGCACTGGCAAGCACCCTGTGGGAGGCCCGTGATGATACTTGGCAACTATTTACCAGAGCAGCTCACCTGAGCCTGAGCGTTCCGGGTCCCCTACGGGTGTCAGCGGTGTTGGCACCCTTTGCCTAGCACGTACCAGTTCCAGACTCCCAGCAGGAAAGCAGGTTGGCTCAGCAAAAACAATATTGTTGGTGTAAACAGTTTAGACTCAGTGAACCATTCTTATCAGGGGCTGCAAAAGATTCTCCCCAAATCCACGTTTCCAGACACCAGCCAAGCGTGTGTCTTGTAAGCAGGCCTCTCTAGGATGGCAGTTTCAGGCCTAGTGTTTGCTCTTTTCTAAACAGGTGTGTCATTTTAGGTAGGGTGCCCTGAATTTTTATTAGAAATGAAATATAGGCTCATAAAAATTCAAATAGTATAGAAATATGTAAAATAGAAGTATTCTCTTCCACTCCTGACCTACCTTTTCATGCATTCCCACTCTGATGATACAAACATACTGGTACATCTTTTTAAAATTGAAATGAATGACATTATACACAGTCCTCTCTCGTTTTTTACTTTCCATTACCTCTTGGCCATTTTTCCACATAAGTACATATCCACTTCTTTTCTTTTTTTAAACAGTTGCTGGTATTTTGCTAACTCAAAAACACTGCAAGGAATGCCCTTTACATATATATTTGCTTACTTGTATAGTTGTGTCTGCCTGTAAATTATTAGAAATGGAATTGACAGTTCAAAGAGTATGCACTTCAGATGTCTAGCAGTATTGCTAAATTGGAGTGTAAAATAGTTCTGTGATATACTCTTAAGAGGTTCGTTGTTCTTGTTTAGTCGCTAAGCTGTCCGACTTTTTGCAACCCCATGGACTGTATAACCTGTCAGGCTCCTCTGTCCATGGGATTTCCCACGCAAGAATACTGGAGTGGGTTGCCATTTGCTTCCTCCAGGGGATCTTCTCCACCCCAAGGATCAAACTCACGTCTCCGGCATTGACAGGCAGATTCTTTACTGCTGAGCTACCAGGGAAGCCCACTCTTAAAAGGTACCAACTCCCTTCTCTTCCCTGTCCACCTACCACAACTCTAGCCTTCCCCTTCACCAGCTAACATTTCTAAAGAAACCAAAGACCTTGTTGCCAGGCCCTCCTGCTCCCATCCCAGAAAACCCTCAGAGATGCTGTGATGAGGACCAGCAGCCCTTAAAGATTGAACTGAGAGGGGCTCCTAGGCCCCCCAGGCCCCAGCAGGAGGAGGGCTGAGAACGCTCCACCCTGAACTCCTTGCAGCCCATTTCAGATATCCCAGGAGATGGAAAGCAGAGATCAGTATTAGGTCACTATAAACCTACAGATGGGATCTCCACAGACTGCACCTGCCATCAGAGCGATTGGAAATGTGCTTTAAATCATCCCAACAGGTGGATACCACTGGTAGCATCTGTCATTGTAGCATTTTTAAAGCTCGTCGTTCGCTGAGCCTCTATCATTTTCTTAAAAATTTTTTTCACAGCAGTCCCACGGAGTTTGTTTCTAACATACACTTAAAGCAGAGAGAAAAATAAAGACCTGGAAAGATACAAGCCTATGGTACCCAGTTAATACCCACCTTTTTACTGGTTTTCTTCCCACTAAACATAACTCTTACATCCCATAGGCAAATTCATGGTTTTACTTAAAGTATTTTTATTTGGGGAGAGACCTATTAGCTTTTTCCTTTCGTATGGCATCCCTGGTAAGAAATTAACAAACCAGTGTGAAAGACTAATCAGGATGGGATGGAAGATAACCACATACCCTGCCAGCCAAAAGGCTGTTTGATGAGCTCCCACCAAGAGCAGTGAAATAAAACGGTGTTAATGAGAATGTAATTAGTAAAGCCAGTTACACTGCCTAAGAGGCTATAATACAGCTAATTGCTTCCTCAGCTATCAGAAAGCTATAAATAGAGATTTCAGGAGAGAGATGCCTCTTTTAAAATATGACTTCAGGTTAACAGATTGATTTGTTTTAGATACTAAAGATGGAGAGTTTTCCTTCTTAGTGTTTATTATAAAAAGCGATAAAATTTATAAATCGGGGAGGGCTCAGATCTTGAAGGGAGAATTTTTTCTTCTGGAGATTTCCTATTCCAGGGCCCTGCGGAGTTCAGGTCAGAGGGCTGGGCAGTGGGTCAGGGTACATGCCAGCACGTGCTGGAAAACAAGGGCCCTTCTGAGCCGTGTTCCCAGGCAGACCCTGCTGGTACCATCTACACACCATCCCAGTGGATGGATCTCAAGACCAGTGTGGTCCTGAGGCCAGGCAGGCCATATAAGCCCAGACTGCCTACCCTGGGCTGCGACCGTCCCTGAGGTCCAAGTGTCAGGATGCTTGGACAAGGTTCAAACACAATCTCCCCCCCACCCTCCCCCCACATCTCCTTTCTCCCTCTGCTTCAGCTCATCAAGGGTGACAATACGTGCATTCCATTGCTTTCTACACTGCTAGCTTCCTTCCAGGGTACACACACATTTCATTTTGAGTAAGCATATTTGCTTTACATTTTTAAAAAGTTGTTATATAATTGCTTTTGAGTCAGCATACTATGTAAGATTAGCTTTGAAGCATATTTGGAGGGCTTCCTGTTTTAAATCGGTTTCTGCTGGTAGTTACAAAGCCTCTCCCAATACTTAGAATAAATAGGTAACTGTGTAAGAGAGAACTTTAGTCAGGAAAACAATATAATCGTTCTCTGCAATACAAGAAGGTCCTGCTTCTTGAAACAAAGTGCTGAGACTTTTCCTCCAAATACCCTTTAAAACCCCTTTAAACAGAGTCAGTTCAGTTCAGTCACTCAGTTGTGTCCAACTCTGCGACCCCATGGACTGCATCACGCCAGGCCTCCCTGTCCATCACCAACTCCTGGAGTTTACTCAAGCTCATGTCCATTGAGTCGGTGATGCCATCCAACCATATCATCCTCTGTCGTACCCTTCTCCTCCTGCCTTCAATCTTTCCCAACATCAGGGTCTTTTCAAATGAGTTAGTTCTTTGTATCAGGTGGCCAAAATATTGGAGTTTCAGCTTCAGCATCAGTCCTTCCAATGAATATTAGAGTATTTTTTACCTAAAAGTTCAAAAATTTTTTCCACCTGGAGGGTAGCATATATAAGAATTGATGGAAAAGAAAATGTGTTATTATGTTTACAGCCAGAGCTTTTAAAGATAAGACTCGAAGCTAGAGATTCCAATCAAATGGTTATTGTAGTGTGTCTTATTTTAGTTTCATGTGTCTGCTTTCAAGAAAAGATAGTTAATGTTCATATAAACAGAAGTGAATAGGTGTGATTTCCAAGGTAACAGCTATGTATATACCTGTAATTGACATTTTTCTTAAACCCTCAAGTGATCTTTAGAAAGTGTTTTCTAATTTCTTTTAATCCCTTTTCAAACAGATCTACCTCAGGCTTTTAAAATCTATATATAGACTTGAGTAGACGAGAACACCAAAGCCAGTGCCTGCAGACACTTTGAAATAAGTGACAAACAGTATCAGGGAAGTGCTTGGTTTGTTTGAAGGTTTTATCTCAGTATTTTCAAGATTGAAGGGAGGAGGTTTTTAGGAAGGCCCAGGTGGATCCTGTTTCTGAGGACTGCCCTAAGGTGAATTGTAGTACTTCCATTCCTGGGCAGTCAAGCTGGTAAATAGACTTTCCAGTTGCTTGAAAAGCAGAACTGGAGTTAAGTCAATTAAAAACAACAACAAAACACAGCTCTCTCTCTCACTCAGAAATGTGTTCCTTTTTCATGAATCCGTTTTCAAACAAGAGCTTGGTAACTACTTTTCGTTGAGACTATGGGTTTGTCTACAGTTGGGACAGTCTAGGGACAAGGAGGTCCCTGTCTGGCCCAGTCCCCTTGTCCTGGGGAGTGGGTCTGGGGTGGGGTAGTCCAGTATTTGCCTGGTCTTTTACTGTTGCCTGCAGCCTGAGGTTAAACATGGTACCTCTTGGTCATTCCATCTTGTGGTTAAACCATATGTCTCTGTATGTTCACTGAGTTTGTAATATCAATTCTGAATAGAACATAAAGCCCGCTCCTCCCCCCTAGGTTAAGGTCCCAGCAAACTCATCTTCTTCTCCATCCCAGAGACCCGACCACTTTCAATTGCAGTCTCGATAGTCGGGACCTAACAACGAAAACATAGCTTTTAAAATACAGTACAAATCCTCCAGGCTTGGTTGTGTTTGTTTCTAAATTATGGCACAGTACCAGTGTAGATTAAAATCTGCCTTGACCAGAAGTTTTCATTTTTTGTTCTTAACTTATAAATCCTTTAATATATCAAATATATAAAAGCCATAGCTTTTCTGATGGAAGCAAGAGAAAGGGGCTTACATTTTAAAATTCTTATTATTGCATTCGATTTCAGAGTTCCTCCTATGGTTCTGATATAAGCTCCCAACCTCAGAAGTTAACAGATTTTTCACCAAAAAAGCTACTATTGATGATTTCTGTAAATTAGACTTCTCCAACGGTATAGTCATAGTGTTTGGTAACTTCTACCCAAGACCCAAAACATCTTGGAAGTCCACTTCCGAAAGTATGTGAATTAGAATAATTTAACCAGTTTTGTATTGTTCAGACTTGGCAGACGGAATCACTGATGTCTTTAGAATGTGAACCTGGCTTCAGACTCCCATCGGTCATATGAATTAGAATAATTTAACCAGTTTTGTATTGTTCAGACTTGGCAGACGGAATCACTGATGTCTTTAGAATGTGAACCTGGCTTCAGACTCCCATTGGTCATTTCCCTGCGGACACTTCCAGGGGCCTTTCTTACTGGGCATGTGACCCTTTCTCACGTGGGCCTTGGCTCTCTGTCATGGGTTTACGGAGGCCCCGTGCCTGGGCTGACCTCTCCCACCTCCACCAGCCCCTCTCTTCCTGCTGCTCCCCCGTTCTTGTTTCATACGCGTGATGGTGGCTCTTTGCCGTAGATAGTGGGGACCAGCAAGTCTGTAAGCAAGGGGTTACTGGGTATGTTTTGAATGTGGAGAAAACTCTAAAACTGGCTGTGGGGTACAACGTGTTTGTTGTACCCCAGAAGGATATGCCCGGAGGTGGGCACTCAGGGTTTGTAGATGACTACAGTGACCCGGGAGAGCGCTCAGGTGGGCCTGAACTAGGACAGGGGTGTTCTGGTTGATGGAGAAAGGACCGCTGAGACTTAGCCATGGACAGACTAGGTGATTGGTTGGAATGAGAGGTAGGGTGATGGCAGGATCTCTAATCTAAATTTGGGGAGACAGCAGGTGGTCGTGGTTTTGGCTTTGTTGAGCTTGGAGCTTCCGGTGGAACACCAAGAGGGAGGAGGAGGATATTGAGCAGAGGGTTGGAACTGTGGATCACAGTAGTGGAAGATCAAGGTGGAGAGACAGGCTTGAAGGGGATAGTTAAGTCACGGGCCCAAAGGACACAGTCCAGGGAATGGGTGTTAGAAGAGTTAAATGGCGATGATGCAGTTTGGGGGAGCCTGCAACTCAGAGGAGAGACGTGCAAGAAGACGGAGCAGTGAAAGATGCTGGGAAAGAACAGAGTGGGGAAAGCAGGCAGACGGCTGGAGGAAAATGCTGCGTGATGGAATAACACGTGTGCTGGCTTATGTTCCAGCAAAGTGGTAACGTATTATCTGGGGTGGGGGGCAGTGAGATTGGATTTCAGAGCCCCCAGAAGGCAGACTCAGACATTCAGAATTGGCAGGAGGAGATGGGAGACACCGTTTTATTGGGAGTTATGGGAAGAAAGGTGCATGGATGCGAGGAAGCAGAGCCCGAGGCTGAGCACAAGCGTTTGAGCCTCGTTGAGATGCGAGTGACTCGGGGTTAGAGGGTGGGGCCCGGATGCTCCTTTTGTCCCCTCCCCACCTGCAGGCACATAGGAGTGGCCTTCCAATCCTTGATTCTGTACCCAGCATCCACTTCCCCAAGGGATGCTGGCACGACCAGTGCCTTGAGAGCTGGGACTCTGTCCCACCTGCCCTGGGCCTGGCCTGACCTTCACCCCGGTGACACAGTGCGTTAACAGAAAGGTCATCTTAGTCTCATAGCAACTCCATACAGCAAGTCCATCCTTATCCCCATTTTACTGATGAAGAAATTAAGGCTTAACTTTACAAGTTACTTAATGTAGTAATAATAAGTGTGGAAATTTTTAAACAGCTTTGTTAGACCATAGCTGCCTTCTACTACACCAGAAGGGAAAGAAGTTTTGCCAATCTTTGTAGGTGAAGTTTCTGTGAGATTGCCTGGGGAAATTACTTTTTTTCCCCTTCCTTTCTTTAAACTATAATTCTTATACCCCAAATTCACCCTTTTAAAGTGTATAATTCAGTAGTTTTAATACAATCACCCAGTTGTACAACCATTACCATGCTAAATTCAAGAATATTTTCATTACTCCAAGGAGAAACTCTGTCCCCATTAGCAGTCATTCCAGTTTCCCCATCCCCCAGCCCCCGGGAAGCACTGAACTACTTTCTGTTCCCCGGACATTTCCAGTAAATGGAATCACACACTATGTGATCTGCTGTGTCTGACTTTTTCACTGGGTGTGTTTCCGAAGTTCAGGCAGGTTTTAGCATGAACGAGGAATTCATTCCTTTACACTGTTGAGTAATATTCCATTGTGTGTATACATCACATTCTGCTTATCTGTTCAGCAGTTGATGGGCATTTGGATTGTTCCTGCTTTGTAGCTACTAGGAATGATGCTGCCACAGACACCGGTGTGCAAGTGTTTGTGCAGACATGTGTTTCCAGTTCCCTCTGGTGTATATTGGAAGGCTACTTGGAAAGAGTGAAAACAGCATGAAGTCCAAGAGCTCTTGTTCTCCGGCTTCTTCCTCTGTTTCCAGTTCCCGCTGGTGGCTGACTTGTTCCATGATGGCAAAGACTCTGCTCCTGCCACCACCACTTCTTCTAGGATCAATATTCGCTCCTCCAGACCCGCCATGAAAGCCTCCAACAAGGAGCACAAGAAAACCGTGGGTTACCAGGTTAGCCCCCAGGCCCTGGAGCTGTGGACCCTGGCACGTGAGGCAAGACTACCTCTCTGGAGATGAAGGACGGAGGGGCAGAGTCAGAGCGGGGCCCGAGTGGCCTCAGTGTCCGCATCTGCAGCCCCAAGCCTAGTCTTTCTGTGCCCTGTGAAGAAGGAAGGTGCAAAACCTTCACTAGAGGGACCTAGTAGGGGAGAGAGGGGAGGACTCCAGCCCCACGTTGCGTGTCTGATCCTTGTGGGGGGACCACATTGCAGAACCACAGACACCTGAGGGTGAGCCTGGAGGTCTAGGGGTGCAGTCTGGGAGGGCGGGATCAATAGCCTAGGGACCCGAAATTGAGAAACAGCTCCTGCTGTGGGCTCGCTATGGGCTTTGACATCCAGCGTGTCTCCCAAGAGAGCAGAGTGCCTGCTGAGCCCTGGAAACCACTGACCCTCATGCTCCGGTAGATGCCTGCTCTGGGCGCGTCCTATAAGGCAGTAACTGCCAGCATGCCACCCAGGCACCCCGTATCAGCGCTGCAGGGCCTCCAGCCATGTGACGGTCCCTCTCACGCTCTTGGCCCTTGCTCACCTCATCTCATCTGATCAGGGTGCTGAGTGAAATGCACCCAGGAGGCCTCTCCCCAGGTGCTTTGTGGAGCCTGGTGCTGAGATGCAGGAGGGTCTGGGGGTTGGCCACACAGCCCAGCAGCGTCAGAGCTGGAGTCTGCCCCCAGGTCCCCGAGGGTCTCCCTGCCCTGCGTTAAACACTAATGAAGCAATAAGAGCATTGACAGCTCCCACCCCCAGTCTCGGGGTGCTCCTAAGTGTTCATGATTCACCACAAAAGGCTGAGGAGGAGTAGTTCACGGGGCGCTGACCTCTGTCTCCCCAGTTCCGGTCCTCCCTGCACCTGCTCATGGAGACGCTGAACGCCACGACGCCGCACTACGTCCGCTGCATCAAGCCCAACGATGAGAAGCTGCCCTTCCAGTGAGTGTTGCCTCGAAGGTCAGGTGCACGGGGCGGGCGCAGCCACGCGGGTCTGTGGTCCTCAGCGGGATGAGTGGCGGGTCCTGCACCCCCCTGGTGGTTTACACGCAGAGCACGGGCCCCATCTCTCTGCCATCCAGGGAACTGGGGGCCGTGAAGGGCCAGCTTCCGGATCTCACGTTGCTTACAGTGATGGTCAGGGGGCCCATGAATCAGAGAGCCGCTTAGAAGTGTGCGGTTAAATGGGGATGTGAGTGCATCTCACTGCAGCTCCTCAGGTCAGACGGAGCGATCAGGGAAAGATTTATTATTTAGGAAACGTAACCTCACGTGATGCATTGAGTGATGAGACGTGCAGATGGTCCCGTGTCTCACACCCCCTCTCCTCCAGGCCTCCAGAGTCATCCACACTTGGTCACTTTCCCCTCTCTCTGACCCACATTCTGCCACTACTCCTACCTTGAAATTTTCCTTCCAATTCTGTCCCCACTCACATGGTTTGCTGTTGTCGTTGTTTAGTCTCTGAGTTGTGTACGGCTCTTTGTGACTCCATGGGCTGCAGCACACCAGGCTTCCCTGTCCTTCACCATCTTCCTGAGTTTGCTCAAACTCAGGTCCCTTGAGTCAGTGATGCCATCCAACCGTGATTGACCTCACCCAAGTCTGGTTAACAATAACTCTTTGGCATCTCTGTCGTCTCTGGGTTGTGACAGATTCCACCTGGCATTTCTGCCGGTCTGCTGTGACTTCATTGGCCTCCTCACACTCAATGTGTCTGAAACCAGATTCATCCTCCCTGCCCCCCAGAATGATTCCTGTTTATTTGGTCTCTGTCTCAGTAAATGGCTTAAGCATTTCCTGACATCTCATCCACTCACCAGACTTGGCTGTTCCAAGCCAGAAACCTAAGGGTCCCTCTGGACTAGCACTGCCTAGTAGAACCTTGTGCCGTGATGGAATTGTTTGGTAAATCTGCAGTGACCCACGTGGTCACTGCTATGTTCTATAACACCTACTGAGTTCTTGCAGTGTGGCTGGGGTGACTGAGACGGCGAAGTCTTAATTTCATTTTAATTACTTACAGGTGGCTAGTGGCTACCATATCAGACAGCAGGGCCCTTACCCCCTAGGATCCAATTGTGGTCAAAGTCCTGTGGAGTCCGCTTGACAGTTTGTCCCCGGCCCCCTGTGTCCCTTCCTTCCACTGTGGCCCTGTTTCAGCGTCTCTCCACTTCTTGCCTGGAGTGCTGCCCTGCGCCTGTAGGATGGTCTCTCACTCACCTCTGCAGCCTTTCCGCCTGTTCCCCTGACCCTCCACACGTGCTATTTTCCCCCAAGCCGAAGGAGGTACATTTTTCCAGCTATTCCTTCCCATCTTTCTGATTTCCTTTTTGGTCCTGGCATAATTTCTTTCTGTGAAATAATTTATTTTGGCAACTCCGACTCTCAGGATGAATATCTGAACTGCCTTCTGCATTTCATATCGGTTAATAAAGCTTGACTCCCGCTCTCAGGGGCCTCGTCCTGGAAAAGGTTGGGAAGACAGTGTCGAATCAGCCTCCTCGGGAGCTGGCTGACCGTCCACTCTTCTCCCTTCCTCCAAGTTCCCGAGACGTTCTCCGGAAATCCCCCTGTGTGGCATCTGTTTACCAGTCACCTCCAGAAAGAGAGAGGCTGTTAGGAAAGCAGCCGGTGTGAAAGACAGAGATTACGTGTGAAGGGCAGGAGTGGGTGCTGGGCCAGGAGTGGAGTGTGTGGGGCTGCCATCAGCTCTGGCTGCAGCTGGCCTGACCTTGGGCGATGTGTTTATCAGAACCGGGTGCCCACCACATGCCGAGTTCTCAGGCTGAATCTCTCCTCCTCCGTGAGGACTCTGAGAGTCCTAACAGCCCACTTGGCTAGGAGCCTCCTTTACCTTCAGGACCAAAGTCTTCCTCCCAGTAGAGTGGGGGAGGTTACAGAACCAAGTCAGAAAACCTGCGTTCTCGGCTACCATTTGTTTGGCTCATCCCAAGCAAGGCCCTCACCCTCTTCGTTTCGTTTCCTCCTCTGTTAATTGTGGCTTAAAAAAAAAAAAAAAGTTATCCTGATGAAAGACTTCAGCGAGATAATGAGGATTATTTATGATCAGTATAAAAATTTATGCCATGAAAATCTGTAATGTTATTGATAATTCTGGAAACAAAGTGCTGTGGTCCTCCTCCCCTGCCCCTCAAGCTGGGTTTCTCAGCACTGTGGGCATTTGGGCCAAGTAATGTTTGCTGCAGGGCTGTCCCGTGCATTGGAGGAGACGGGGCAGCATCCCTGGCCTCTGCCCCCTAGATGCCCAGCAGTGGCACCCCCACCGCTGGGACAACTAACAGCATCTTATAACATTAATGTTCCTTGGCAGCAAAATTGCCTCCAGTGGAGACTGCTGTCCTGCACTAAATGCTTCGATTTGATAAAAAGTCTTTCCTTCCACTTTTTCCTTTGTTCAGAAGCCATCTACCCTGGGCACTGGGCTAGGACCATGGAATCACAATGAATAAAGACATAGTCTTCTTCTTAAGGAGTTGTCAGCCCCAAATAGCTGGTGACAGTGTAAGAGTGACTGTCAGTGGGTCTGTGGAAACTGCAGCGATATAGAGGCAAGAGAGCAGGAAGTGTCCAGGGAGGAGGTGGCCCTGGGCAGGTGTGATCCTCTGGAGTGGGGATCATCATCGGAACAACTGGCCATGTTTCCTGAAGGCCAGTGGGCTGGTCTCAGCGGCAGGTGGTCCTGAGTGCCTCGGGGTCTCGAGTACACCTCCCCAGCACTGCAGAGCCCCAGGCAGTAGGTGGGAGTCAGCAGCCTTTCAGGCGGCAGGTGACTGCGGAGATGGAGCCAGGTCCCCACGTCGTTGGAGGGGGCTCACTCTGTGTCCAGCTATAGCTGAGCTTCAGAACAGCCAGAAAGAAAAAGAACATTTATTCCTCATCCTGAATCATGGTGATTGATTCAGGGTCAGCTTACTTCTTTCTCCATGAAGACTCCCTGGTTACCCCAGCCAACTCCAGCATCTTTCCCTCCAGTTTCTTTCAGCATTTTTACCACGTTTATCACATGATGCCTTGTGGTTTAATCAATCGCTGGGTAGGAAAGATCCCCTGGAGAAGGGAACTGTTACCCACTCCAGTATTCTTGCCTGGAGAATTCCATAGACAGAGATGCCTGGTGGGCTGCAGTCCGTGGAGTCACAAAGAGTCAGACACGACTGAGTGAATGACACTTTCATTTGTAGTGTACTACCTCTATGCACTTCTCCCCTCTTCAAGTGCGGATACTTGAGAAAATCCAGACCATGTCTGACTTTCTGCTCTAGTGTCCTATTCAGTATAGGTGTTATAATAAAAATGGGATTTTCAGTACTAAACTTAGCACCTTAGGGTGGGTGAGCTGTTGAAGTCATGGCTTGTATCTCTGTAGGGACAAGAAGATAAAGTTGTTCATCTCTGTGATTCTTAACTGGGCAGCTCTCATGACAGAAGCTCACAGCACGTGTGCCCTTATATGTTGTGCCAGGCACTGTTCTCACTGCTTTCATGGGCTGTTACACTTTATCTTCCTACTAACTTTCTAAAAGGGATACTTCTCTCCTCCCTGCTTTAGAGAGGAGGATACTGCCATGTAAGGAAGTTTACTTGCCCCAAATCACACATGCAGCTTTAAGTGACCACGTCATGATTCAGACCCAGGTCTGCGTGGCCTGAAACTCCCCTTTTTAACTTGGGAAACTGGAAAAACCATAGCTTTGACTATACGGACCTTTGCTGGCAAAGTGATGTCTCTGCTTTTTAATACACTGTCTAGGCTCTGCAGAGGAGGCAGGAATGAGCATGGGAGGGTGGACAGAGTGCAGGGAGGCAAATAAGAGGAGCAGTCCTGGTGAGGGTGAGAATGTGCCCTGAACTGAGATGGCTCAGGTGCTGCCAGTCACTGTCTTCTGGCCTGCACTTGGTCCCTGGCCTTGAGCTCCCAGGTGCACAATGCCTATACCTCGGAGCCGGAAGGGGTGGTCTCTGTCTCTCCCCTGTTCTGTTTCTTTGCCGTTGCGGCCTCTCATTGCTTGTCTTGTTTTGCAGTTTTAACCCAAAGAGAGCGGTGCAGCAGCTCCGAGCCTGTGGCGTGTTGGAGACCATCCGGATCAGCGCAGCCGGCTACCCGTCCAGGTACCACACCCCCTGGGGCCCGCCTCCCCAGGGGACCCCCCTTATGTGCTGTCAGCCAAAGACACAGCCTCCAAAAATGGTCTCCAACACTGAGGGCTCAAGCAGGGTGCAGACAGACAAAAGAATCTCAGTTTGTCCTAAGAAGTATGGGTGTCAACAGTAACATCCTCCTGGACAGCTTTTCAGATTTCAGCTTGGCATTGGTCTGGGTGGCGAGCTGGTCAGCCCTCCTAGCAGCAGAGCCTCCAAAATCCTTTTTCCTGTCAGTCCTCTAGGCATGATTCTTTAACTCAGCTACATGCTGAAGTTCTCAGCATCAAGGAAGAACAAAATGCCCCAGAACGTGTTTTGCTGCTCTGAGAAGGGCTTTGTGCTGGACATATTGACCCCTGGGGGCCCTGTCTGAGATCAGCCAGGGCCCTTGTATGGCCAAGAGGCAGGACGTGTCCCCTGATGCATCAGTTTTCTCTCCAGGTGGTCCTACCATGACTTCTTCAACCGGTATCGGGTGCTGGTCAAGAAGAGAGACCTCGCCAACGCAGACAAAAAAGCCATGTGCAGGTCTGTGCTGGAGAGCCTCATCAAGGTGAGCTAGGCACAGCCCCGACCCCGGCCCCAGGGAAGGCTCAGCCGCAGTGCCCTGGGATTTGGGCAGGGATGTTAACTGCCTTAATGGTCCTCACCCCTCTTACCAAGACTGCCATCTGAGATGTTCATCCATTTTCCTGAATCAGTGACTATAAAGGAAAAGCCCCTTTCCACCTGCCTGGAGACATTCCCAGCCTTTCCCACATCACAGGTCCCGTAGAAAATGAAATGGTTTATACAGCACCCTAGGGGTCATGATAAGGCACCAAGCTGCTGGCCCAGATCCTAGTCTTCCCCAAAGCCTGGGGCTCCACCGCTCAGCCTGCCTGCTGGCAACAGTGAACCTGCCAGGGCTCTGATCTGGAGCCCAAGCCCGGATGGCCTGGAAGCCAGCCGAGGGGGAAATAACCCGCACCTCCTGTGTCTTCCCCATCACAGAGCCGGCCTCAGGCCCAACCCCAGATGCTTGTTTTAAATAAGACAGTGGATTTCATTTTTTCTGAAACAACCTGAACTCAGCAGCTGACGCTTGGGGCTGGAGAAGGACAGCCAAGCTCTTGGCGGTCTTCAGTGAGAGGCAGATCCTTGCGTGTTTCTTGGTTCTAGAGCATTCAGGGATTACAGCAGAGTATGGTACTTAATGGTCTCAATAAAGGGTTAGATTACATCGAGAATCTTCCTTTCAGAAGAGAAGAGAATTGCATCAACTTTAAAAAAATTTTAAGTATCATTTTGTTAGGAAAATGTGTTCATTTGGAGTATAGTTCATTGCCAGATGACCAAGTTTAAAGTCATAAGTTATTTTGTAAAAGTGACACCATCACCCTCTGAGCACAATGTTGTCTTAACAGCTCAAGACTGTAGCTATAGACAGTACAGAATGCTGGGCTAAATATTCCATAGAGAATAAGAGGGCGGCAGTCTTCTTAACTGAAGGTTGCCGTTGGTCCATTGGACTCTGGTTAATTGAGGTTTGTGCTGTGGAGCATCTGCCAATGTCTACATTTCAACATCTCTTTCTACATGGGTGAGAAAAAGGTGTTCAGGGTCAGCTGAACCCTGGGTGACAGGGAGCATCAGGAGTCTTCCCCCTCTGTTGGCACTGGGAGCTAGCCTGTTCGTTTGGTCATGGCTCGCAGCAGTCCGCTCAGCCCTGGGTCTAGCTCCTGCTTTCCGTGGGGCCATAGTTCCATTCTTCCTCTCCCATCCTGGTTTCTCCATGCTTCCAGTGGAACCGTTGCTCCCCATGCAGAAGGTGATCTGGAGGGCCCCAGGTCAGACCGGCTGACTCCACGTCCCCCACCCCACTCCCCTCCAGCTGGCAGGACCGAGGGCCGCTGTCCAGACCTGCTCCTTGATGCGCTCGGGCCTCTGGTTCTACATCACCCAGCTTACATGCTGACCCCGCCTTCCCGCCTTCCTCGGTCCAGCAGTCTCTGAGCCCCTAGTGTGCTGTCCTGTGCTCCAGATGTGTTTTCGTCTCCTGCAGAGGACAGCCTTTGCATTGACACTCCCCTGAAGTTATGAGCCCTGAGCCTGACACACAGATGTCACTCACCAGGCATTTGTGGAATGAGTGAACGAGCCAGTGAATCCCCTATGCCATGTGAATAAGTGCTGTTTCCTCTGCCTGAAGTGCTTTCCGCACCTTTTCCGTGTCTGGCCAGGTTCTTTCCTTCTGAACTGAGCTCTAAAATGCTTTCTGGTCCATGAAGCCTGTTCCTGGTGCCCCCAGATGGAGTCAGCCACTGGCCAACACTTCTCCACTTCTGTCTTCCATTACTGCATTTCTCCCCTTGTATTGTAGTTAAGGGCTTGTTTGTCATTTCACCAGACTGTGGACAACTTAATGGCACGGGTCTCACTGTCACTGTGTTCCCAGCACAGTCACTGGACCTCACAGGAGCTGGAGTTTGTGCAGGTGGCTGCCTGGGTGATGGATGAGCTTGTCCCGATGAAACCTGCCACCGGCGGCTCACAGTCGCTGAGCCTGAGTACAAGTCAGACGTTTCTCGGTTTCATGCATTCCATCTCATCTTCACACTGAGAGAGATGCAAACGTGACCCCCATTGCACAGATGAGGAAGCTGAGGCATAAACAGCTGACATAAACTGCCCAAAGTGACTCAGGAACCCCCACAACCTAAAACATATCACCACTGAATCAGTCTGATTGATTAATCAATGTCACGGTATATAATTACCGTTCCTAGACAGGAGTGGGTTTCCCTGGTGGCTCAGACGGTCAAGAGTCCACCTGCAATGCAGCAGACCTGGGTTTGATCCCTGGGTTGGGAAGATAACCTGGAGAAGGGAATGGCTACCCACTCCAGTTTTCTTGCCTGGAGAATCCCAGGGGCAGAGGAAGGAGCCTGACGGGCTACAGTCCATGGGGTCACAGAGTCAGACAGGGCTGAGCGTCTAACACTCTTTCACTTTTCAGACATGTAATAGGGCTCGGTGCTTCAGGACTTCCTTGGAAACCTTTTTTGTCTTTTCCCTTTTGGGGGATGAGGGGGCACACCTTCTGGTCACCAGTGCTGCTCGCATCCTGCTAAGTGACCTGAGACTTCAAGTGGCTGAGACTTGGCAAAGCCACCCGTTATATTAGAAGGGCGCATTCCAGCTCCCTGCACTTTCCAGGGAGGTGCTAAGTAACACTAGAGCAGAGTGATTGGGAGAGAAGCCGTGATGGAGGGGTGTGTAGGCCTGGTGGCAGGCTGTTCATCTGGGAGGGGCGCGGGGGCTGTATCATGAGGTTGCTCGGGAGTGGTGCTCTCCTCCTGCGAGGAGTATAGGAATCCCTCCATCTTTAGCTTGAATGTGTTTTTCTTTAACTCCACAAATGGGTATTGAATTCTTGGATTCTTCCTATGTACTACCCTAGAGTGGTCAGAGTGAAAGTTACAAAGGAGCCGACTAGGGGGGCCATGCCCTCCAGGACTGACAGTCGTCTAGTGTAGTTGCAGGCATCACTGGCCATCAGGAAAACCTGAACCTGTATCCCGACAGTGAAGGAGTGGATTAGCAAGCTTCTGCTAGGAACCCAGGGAGCGTGAGGAGTGTGAAAAAGGAGATGGTCCTACAAACAGGCATGATGTAACAGAGACCTCTGGCCGAGGAGTCCTGGGTCATGGGTTCTATTCCTTGATGTTTTCAGTGAGACCTTTGGCAAGTCACCTCAACATTTTCGGCATCTGTGCAATAAGAAAGTGGCTTGAGATGGGTTCCTAAGATTCCTTTCTACCCCGTCAGTCTCTGATTACTGGAGAGGGGTTCTCAAGAGATGACCTCTGATCAGTATGTGAAGAGTATGGTCAGTTCTAGGGGTCAGAGCAAACAGACGCCTGAGCGAGGGGGAGTGCCACCTTCAGGCCAGTGGTGACAGGCACACCACTGGGGCCTTCAGAGAAATCCTCATCCATACAAACAGTGGCTCTGCAGACCAGCCTGCCGTTTCCCTGGTGGTTTCTTTCAGAATAGGAACTGGAGCCAGTGTACTATGGCCCCAGGGATACAACAGGCACCTCCGATCCAGGCCCTGGCTTTGCTCAAGACCTAGTAGCCGGGCTTGTCCCTCAACTGTGAGGGTTGAGTTGCCAACCCCTCCTCACTGAGGAGTCTCCCCAACCGGGTGGTGATGAAGGCCAGGCTTCGGGCGTCTCAAAGCTCCCCGGCCCAGTCCAGCCTTGGTTCCTCCCGTTGTGAGCTGAGGCCTGAAGCAGAGGCAGGAATGGGAACCAGGCCCGCAGCTCGCTTCCCCCTGCCTCGCCAGCAGCAGCCACAGAAGGGAGCGTCAGCAGCGGCCAGCTGTCCCCAGCTCAGCCCCAGTGCAGGCCGTCTGGCTTTCCTGTGCGGGGAACCCGGTTTCTGTTAGCTGTACGGGGCTTGGCCATGACGAGTGTCGGCTCAGCATGGCTTCAGAGCCACTGGTCAACAGGAAATATATCCTCATGTGTGTGTTTTCCTTACACCTTGGCTCACTATCTCCTTCTTATAATGGTCTTCATGCTCAGTGAGCAAAATTAGATGATGTGTATTTAACAAAGAGCACTCAGTTATCGTGGGCCACCTACGGAGTGCTGTAGCCCAGGCCTGTCCACATACACACACACACACACACTCACTCACTCACTCACTGCCGGGTCATCTCCCCTCGTCCACCAGGGCCAGCACAGGAAGGGCCCCCAATTTTAACCTAAGTACGTGTCGTTAAAGACAGTCAGCATCTGTCTGAAGAAACCTCACAGCATAGTCTACACCAAATAGAATGTACTTGGGGGTAATTTGCCATGTATGTGTGGTTTCCCCTGCCTGCCTGCTTTCCCTCCATTCAGGTCTTCGCCTGAACAGCCCCTCCGCTGAGATGCTTTCCTCCTTTAGCCTATTTCAGCATCTGCACCCCATCCTCCAGCCCTGGGTTTGTTGTCTTCATAACCCCAGCACTGCCTGAAATGTGCCAAGCTGGCCCAGACGCCCTAGTGGTGACGTCGGGTGCTGGCGGGCAGGCCTGCTTCTCACCGCAGCTCATGGTGTCCGAGCAGCAGTAGGGACGGGTCAGTGTCGGTTACACACCGACTCTTCGGCGGTTGTTTAAGGAGCAGGGGCACGTGAGACCCGGCAGGGGAGTAGTGCAAGGGAGGAACTGGGGTGGTGGGGCGCGTTCCCTTGCTGCTCACGGATGATGAACCAGCTCCCTTCCCTGCCTCATCAAGGATCCTGACAAGTTCCAGTTTGGCCGCACCAAGATCTTCTTCCGGGCGGGCCAGGTGGCCTACCTGGAGAAGCTTCGGGCTGACAAGTTCCGGGCGGCCACCATCATGATCCAGAAAACCGTGCGGGGCTGGCTGCAGAAGGTGAAGTACCGCAGGTTGAAGGGAGCGAGCTTAACTCTGCAGAGGTACTGCCGAGGATACCTGGCCCGCAGGTGAGCCGGGGCACACCTGAGGCAGTGGATCGGTGGGGTGGGGTGGGGGGCAGGGGGCAGGGCCTGGCTCTGGGCTGGCCGGCCTCAATCAGCCCCTGTGGGTAGAACGCGATTCCTTCTGGGCCCTGTCTATATCCAGCTTTCCTTCAGCAGCCAGGCCCCTCTCTCCTCCCCTTGTAACCTGAGCCAGTAGGTCTAATTCCCAGGTCTCCTGGCTCCCCCAGTCTGTCCCCATCCACCAGTGCTAGCCTAGGACTGGTTGGTTTTCTGGCCAAACCTCCGTTTGCCCTTTGCTTAAACACTTAAGTAAAACAATCCTCTTTCTAAAAGAGAGATGAATTCAGCCTTTCTCTCACAGTTAATGTACACTCAGGTTCATGACTTATGCCACCAATTTCAGAATCCCTTAGGAGTTTGGTTAGTAGGGTTGAATGAAAAGGCCTGGGGAGTTCCCTTCTATGAGCTGTTGCACTCAGCCAGCGTGTGGAGGGGGAGGGGGAGACTTGTCTGACCACAAGCAGCTCCCTTGCGGCAAAGCCTGATGCCAGTGGGCTGTCCTGCCCCAGCCCAGCACCACACGAAAGAGATGCTGCAAACATCCCCTCCTAGTGATGTCATTGGGTTGCTGAAGCACTGAATCAGTATGAGTCTCACCAGGGAGATGGGCGTGGAGGACGCCCCCATCCCTCGCCATGAGACCCACCCCCCAGCGTTTACATGGGTCATCTGATTTTGGACCCAGCCCTGGTTCAACATCAGTGACCTCTGTAGATCCCGGTTTTCTTGAGGAGGTGACAATAATCTCCAGGACGCCTTGCATTTGGAAGCTGAAGTTTCACAAGTGACTGCTCAGGCCTCTTTGCTTGAATATAGAAACAAGCCCAGAGCAGGCACCCAATGTACCGTAAAGTTAGAAGACTGCTCCAGCTCCCCTTCATGTCCTGGTTATAAGCTGTTTATCCAAGCAGAACCAGAGGTGATGAATACTGTTAATTACCTGTGAACAGCTGAGAGGTGGTCTCCAGAACAAAAGCTACAGAAACGAGAAGGTTGTCAGTGGCACCCACACTAAGGTGTCATCCACAGTTAGGGCATCACTGAGCACCCTGGTGCTCGGGACTCTGTCCTGCGTAGTGGGTTGGCCCACGTTCTTCCTGCTGGGAGTTTATATTCCAGAGAGTGTCCAGGGAGAGCTGCACCAGAAATCAGACTCATCTAAGCAGGTAGAGCAAGGCTGAGTGAGTTACCTCCCACTCTGGAGTTGGGCTAGATGATGTCCAAGGTCCTTTCCAGCTTTTAATATTCTTAGTCTCTCGTTAAGCACTTGCTATGAGTCTGACACCACACAGAACCCTTGCAGGGGGTAAAAGTGTTGGATTGACTTCATGTCTGCCTTGAGGGGTGAGATGGGGAATGTGGAAATGAAACAGGGAAGTAGATGCCCATGTGCAGTGCATCCCTGGCAGAAAGGCTGGGACATGAGAATGTAGAGAGAGGTCGCCACAGGCCTGAGAAGCTGGTGTTCATTGAGCAGATACTTCGCATGCGCTGCTGTGCTGAGCCCTATACTAGATGTAAGGCTACAAGAATGCTAAGACCCGGGCCCTGATCCCTCTGAGCCCAGTGAGGTCCAGGGACAGACCTGAGTGTGAGCACATGACATCCTTGAGGACTGCCCAGGTTATAGGATAGGCTTGTGGGTCGGGGAGTGGATGGATGAGGATCAGTTGATCAGACTTAGACTGAGTTGTAAATACATGGCAAGACTTTTTGGATGGGGTGGAGGAAGCCAGTTCTGTTCTGAGCTGTGTCTCAAGGCCTTGCTACGGTCAGTAAGGGTGATGAGAGTTGGCCTAGCCGGCGGGTGACCGGGCAGGGCTGGTTTTGGGGAAGGGACTTGTGTTCACAAAGGGCCCACCACTCTCTCCCTCCCCAGACTGGCCGAGCGTCTACGGAGGAGCCGGGCGGCCGTGGTGCTCCAGAAGCAGTACCGCATGCAGAGGGCCCGCCAGGCCTACCAGAGGGTACGCAGGGCTGCCGGCATCATCCAGGCCTTCGCTCGGGGCATGTTCGTGCGGAGAATCTACCACCAGGTGCGTAGCCGCCCACAGGGACTCGGGCTGCAGACTCAGAACTGAGCAGCAGCAGATGGCTTGGCACCAACCTCAGCACTTGTTGGGCACTTCTTGCTTTTTTCTAAGGAATTTCACAACTCTGCTCCCACCGAACCCTGACCAAAGTCTCATGAGGCACAGTGACTTAGGGTTCACCAGAGAGACAGAATTCATAGGAGAGGCATATGTCTGTGTGTGCATGGGCGTGTGTGGATAAGGTTTGTTATGAGGAACTGACACATGTAGGTATGAAGGCTGAGCAGTTCTTGATGTACCGTGTACACACTGGAGACCCAGGAAACCCAGGGGAGTAACTCTGCCCGAGTCTGAAGGCCTGAGGACCAGGCAGTCATGGTACAGTGCAGTTCAAGGGCAAGATGGCTCAAAATGGTAAGGAAGCTGCCTGCAATGCAGGAGACCTGGGTTCGATCCCTGGGTCAGAAAGATCCCCTGGAGAAGGGAATGGCAACCCACTCTAGTATTCTTGCCTGGAGAATCCTGTGGAGAGAGGAGCCTGGCATGCTGCAGTCCATGGGGGTTACAAAGAGTCATACGCAACTGAGCGACTAACACTTTGATTCATTCCATAAACATTTTTTTGCAGGGCGTTACAGTAAGGACATTGATGATGCTTTAATTTTCTGAGTGGTTTTTTAACTGGATAGGAAAAAAGAAAAACTGAATTACAAGCCAAGTTAACTGTGACCCATTAACCCACTCGACAATCCCACCCGACCATCTCACTTCATCTCCAGCTTACTGTCACCGGGAGGGGAGCCACATCTGTTGAATGGGGGGCTATCAGCTGGATAATCTTTAAGCCCGTCTGACTTTGAGGTTTTTCTTTTAGACTGTGGTTTCCTAACAAGTAAAAAAAACAAAAAATTAGAAAGGAGAGTTTGACAGCTGCCACCAGATTAGTTGCAACTTGTTCCTAAGACAGATGGCCGCCAAAGCCTCAAGTCCTAGGGCAGCTGTAGCTTGCCGACCTTGGATCTTGCCTCTACGGAGCTGTACGCGAGCCCCTTGCCCCCCCTGTGCAGCACAGACCCATCAGCTGTGTGCTTGTGCCCTCCAGGTCCTCAGGGAACACAAGGCCACCGTCATCCAGAAGCATGTGCGGGGCTGGATGGCTCGCAGGCACTTCCAGCGGCTGCGGGGCGCGGCCATTGTCATCCAGTGCGGCTTCCGGAGGCTCAAGGCCAAGCAGGAGCTGAAGGCCCTCAAGATCGAAGCTCGCTCAGCGGAGCACCTGAAACGCAGTGGTTTCCTAACAAGTAAAAAAAACAAAAAATTAGAAAGGAGAGTTTGACAGCTGCCACCAGATTAGTTGCAACTTGTTCCTAAGACAGATGGCTGCCAAAGCCTCAAGTCCTAGGGCAGCTGTAGCTTGCCGACCTTGGATCTTGCCTCTACGGAGCTGTACGCGAGCCCCTTGCCCCCCCCTGTGCAGCACAGACCTACCAGCTGTGTGCTTGTGCCCTGCCAGGTCCTCAGGGAACACAAGGCCACCGTCATCCAGAAGCACGTGCGGGGCTGGATGGCTCGCAGGCACTTCCAGCGGCTGCGGGGCGCGGCCGTTGTCATCCAGTGCGGCTTCCGGAGGCTCAAGGCCAAGCAGGAGCTGAAGGCCCTCAAGATCGAAGCTCGCTCGGCGGAGCACCTGAAACGCCTCAACGTGGGCATGGAGAACAAGATAGTCCAGCTGCAGCGGAAGATCGATGACCAGGTCAGTGTCTCCACTCCCATGCGGGGGTTGGGGCTGGGGCGAGACTCCACAGGCACGTTTGAGAGACACACGGCTTCCCGAGGGGAGCTTTCAATTGATCCCTGTGCAGCTTCATGAGGCCATTCTACGGGTAAGCGAACTGTGGATCCGGAGCATCAAATACTTGGCCAAGATCACAGAATTAGGAAGTGCTAGAACCAGTGCTCCAGCCCTGGTCTGCCTGATCCCACAGCCATAAAGAGGGCGATGTTGGTTTCTTAACCCCAAATGTCACTAAAGAGTCAGTCCTTTCCTATGTTGTGACTAAGATGGGTTTCCAGAGTTGAAAGCAGGCTCACTGGTACCTTGGGCTTGCAGGGTATTAGTGACCTCAGGACCAGGCTCCTGCAATGCCTAGAGGGTTTCTGGTGCCTCCTGAGAAAGAAAAGGTTGAGGATGGAGAGAAGGAATGGGGTGAACATGCCTGGTGCAAGGGGTGGAGAAAGAGAGAGTTGGCATTGCCTTGGTGGTCACTGGTTTTATTGTACCTAATCTATACTAGGCGCTTTTTAAAGCTTCTCATGCTTTAAAGCTTTCTTGCCAGTAGGGCAAGAAAATAAATGAGCTATTTTACACCTAAACCAGCTGCCCTGAACAGGAGCCCCCAAAGTAGTCAAATGTTACTGCCTCTCTGTTCTTGCAAAAAAGACCAGCCTTCCGGAGAAGAAGCTGTCACCCTGGGTGTTTGTCTCTGTGTGAGTCCCACGGGTGTCTTGGTTGGCTCGGCTCCGCAGTGGAGAAGTGAGACAGAAAGCTCGCGCACGGTTGGCCCGCAGTGATAGGTCAGGTCCCAGAGGAAGACGCATCTGCTCAAAGCATCGGGAGTAGACAGGAAAGTGGCTCTGTGGGTCAGCCCTGTGGAAAACACAAGCCCAAGGCAGACCTGTATTATTTCTGTCATCGCCATTATTATTGTTACTTTATGACTATTGACGACTGGCCGGGAAAGACATTTGCATAGTCAAATGGCCCCCATTAACTTTCTGAGCAAAAAGTATGGTCCGAGGAAGGAGCAGGCTTTGCGAGCGCCGTTGTTGTGCTGTGCCCGGAGCCTGTATACTGGCCGCCTCTCCCAGCCATCGGTCTCTGTGTTGTCATTGCTGATTTCTGAAGTTGACTCGAGAGGTTAAAAGTAAATCTAGTATTTTATACTCCACGTGCTGGAACATCAAAGAGAAGCAGATTTAAAAGACCTATTTTTAAAAAGAGCTTTTTACCTTAAACTTCCTGCGTGGCAAACATCTGTGAGCAGTGGCCAGTGTTACCCTCTCTGGGTGCCCTGTGTGCAGAGGGTGAGGAGAGAAGGCGGGGAGGGGGGAGGTAGGTCTTGTTTTCTTATGTCCCTCCCCATGTTGCTCAATTGTGTGCCAGGCACTATCCTCATGTGTTAAGTCATTTAATCCTCACAACAGCCCTGTAAGATTTAACATTATTCCCATTTCAATCTGAGGCACAGGGAGGCCAAGTAGTCTGCGAGGTCGCACAGCTAGGAAGTAGCATGGTTAAGATTGAAACTTGGCAGTTTGGTTCCAGAGAATGTTCTGCTACCTCCAACCATATCTGGGGATGTCTGCATATTAGGAGATTCTTCAGACATGTGAGAATTCCTCAGTGCAAGGAAGGTGCTTAGCTTTGTTTTGAGTTCATTCTTGTAGATAGTGTCATCCTTGGACCAGCCGGTGTTTTGTAGTGGAGTGTGTGACCTGGTGTCAAAGAAGATGCGTGGCTCTTTGTGTTGAGAAGAGTCATAAACAACCTGTGGCATCAGGACATTAGAGTCTCATTGTATTGCTGCCTCTCAGAAGGCGGGGTTCGCCTTGTGTAAGCAAATGGGTTTCTGTTTTCTGTGTAATGCCTGGAGACAACTCAGGAGGCTTCTCCCCAACACACACAGATTCTTAGCCAGGAGGAAAGGAGACACGCTTGCCAGGAGCGACATATATGAAAACATCCCCAAGTGTTTGGCAGAGTGGTCTGAGGTCATGGACTGAGTCCCAGCTGCATGGAAGCCTGAGTTCTGTTTCAGTTATACTTGCCACCAGAGCTGACAGCTAGGGATTATGGCCAAATCTCTCACTGGGCCTTGAGTTCCTAGGAGGGGATTGGTCTAAGAGCTGTAACTTACTCAAAAATTCACTGATCCCATAAAGTGGGTCTCAATTCCAGGCTGCACTGTAGAATCACCAGAGGGCACTTTTTAAAAAAGTGTCCCCAGTGTCCGCAATGCCAAGAGGACAGCAGATGAGGAAACTGTAGGCTAAAACCAGGGGGAGGTTAGGGCCCGAAAGTCACGTCGAAGGTTTTGTGCACACAGAGACAAGATGTGAACTTGGCAGCAAGTGCCCAAGCAAACAGGAAGAAGGAAGTAGGGTAACTTGAGAGCTGCGGAAAGCGTTTAGAAGGGTTGGTGCTGTCCCTGGTGCTGAGACAGTTTTCTGAGGGTGTTTATAACCTGTGATGTAATAAGCTACAGCCTTCACAGTATCCTTCAGCAGTAAATGCAGTGATAGTTCCTGGGATTGTTTCTTGCAGAGCCCCTGGTGTAGGCCTGTGGTGTGGCATTTTTTCAGCCAAAAATGGTATAACCTATGAACTTGACTCTATCAGTTTGTCTTTATTCAAGCATATGTAGAGTAAGATGACCAGTTGAGCTTACAGTTTGTTTTTGTTTTTTTAATGAGGGTCAAGTTCCTTAGACCTTTATAAGGCGATATGAAACTATATTTTAGTGGGAAAAATATGACACAAATGTGTGGATTCAGTTAGTAGTCTTTTCCATCAATTTGATTCAGTATACTTCATGTGCATTTGGTTAAAGTAGTTAATATTTTATGATTCATGTACATCTGAAAAATTGTAGGGGCAAGTCACAGCTTTATGGCCTTCTGTGCCTCAGTTTTCTCAACTCTGAAATAGGTATATTAATCAGGCTTGATTAATAGGTATATTAATCAGGAGTTGGTGATGGACAGGGAAGCCTGGCATGCTGCAGTCCATGGGGTTCCAAAGAGTTGGACATGACTGAACTGAACTGAATCAGCCTTACTATGTAGGATTCCTGTGAGGAGAGAATGAGTTAATAGACGTGCATCATGTAGTACAGAGCCCTAGAGCAGTGGATGCAGTGGATGTCTGAGGAAGCTGAGGAGAACGGGGTCCATGTGGAAATCCCCAGACCCCCCAGTATCAGGACAGGGCCCTCCCTGGTTCAGGGCAGAGCTGCCCAGATCTTGGGTCACACTGACCAAGGCAGCTCCAGGGAGCCTGGCCTGCCTCCGCAGGGAGGGTTTCCGGGCTCTATGAGGGAATGGGTGGCCCTCACCACTCCTGGCGCCAGGCTTGGCTGCGCAGCTGTGGGCATCTGACATGGACATCATGGTGTGCGGAGGAGGCAGGATGCTGTGAGGCCCTTCTGGGGTCTCCTGTTCTAAAATCACGCCTCCAGAACAGGAAATGTACAGCCACGGTATGTCCTCAGCGATTACTTCTGGGTGCCGATGATGGTGAAATAAGGAGACGTCCAAGGGCTGCTGTTTGGAATCTCCCACCCACACCCCTGTTGGCCTGTCTTTTCATCATTCCATTCTCAAGGGGACCACTCCCCCCCAACCCAGGAGAAGAGGGTGACCCTTATCAAGCACCTACTGGGTGCCAGCCCCCAGGGAGGCCCTCAGTCTCCCTGAACCTTGATGAAACCCTCTGAGGATGGAGTTACTGTGGTCCCTCTTTCACACTGAGGGAGCTGGGTGCAGGGAGGTGCAGTGACCACACAGCTGATCAGGATGGGGCTGGGGCCTGAGCTCAGGTCCGTCCAGCTCCAGCCTCTTAGCTCCTCGACTTCCCTGAGCCTCACCTCAGCCTGCGTGTCAGTGAAAGCAAAGAAACTGGCCTCCTAGACTTGTCATCCTTGCATGTGGGTCCTGGGATGTCATCGCTGACCATTGCAGGGTGTCACACCACATTGTATGGCTCTCTCTACACCCCACACCTGCTGTATCATGAGTGCCTCCCCCCTGCCCCCCAGTCTGGTTCTCATTCCCACTCTCCCTGGGATCTGACCCAGGCCACACCACCAGGAGGAACTTCACTTCCTGCCCAGAACAGAGCAGTGTCGAGGCAACTAGTCCAACTCACATCCCCACCCCATACCCCACTCCCCTTGTGCAGAGACCCTTCAGCCTCCAGGGAGATCCAGACCTGGGTAGGCAGTACAGACCGGCTTTGGGCTGTTTAAACAGATGCTGCCTAATTGGATTTCTCATTGGTGATGACTTCGAGCAAGGCTGACTGCCAGCCCAGACGTGTGGGTGTGTCGGGTTCTAACTGGGACGTTTCCTCAGACTGTGGGAGGATCTCTTTGTGATAGATCAGTGCGGGGATTGTGCTGCTTAGACACCAAATGCAGGTCTCAGCCTTGAGGTCCCAGGCGCCTGCGGTGTTGTACTGGGTCCAACATCTGGTCTGCTGCTGCCCCTCCCTGCTCCCCATGATGCTTCATAGCTGATGTGAATGAGTCATTGGTTCCTGATGCCAAGAGCTCTGTTTTACCCAGAGCTCCTGCAGAGACTAGCCATGGAGAATGATGATGCCTGTTTGCCGCCTGCTTGATTATCGGGAGAACTCTGATTCTTTCCCCTCCACGTTCCCTCTGAGCACCTTGAGCTGATACGCTCAACTGCAGCACCTTTCTGCCCGTTTGCACTTGCACTTGACACTGGCCCTGGGTCCGCAGGGCTTCCTGTGTGTGAGCTCACCTACAGCCTCCCTCCCTGCCCCCCTCCGTACCTCCGCCAGGCACCTGGGACTGCTTCTCACTTGCCTGTTGCTTGAGTGGGTATGTAACTGGGTACCTCATCGACAGGGGTGGGTTTGGCCAGGGCATCCGTTTCTGGAGTCAGACTCTTATAGGACCAGCGGACAGGTGGTGGGAGGGCTCCCCCGGCCCCGTGGAGGGCCCCCTTGGGAGAGGGGATGCTAAAGAGGTCCTTTGTCTCAGAGCCAGCGATTAGGTTGCAGCTCTTTGTGCCAGTGAGTCCAAGGGCAGGAGGGCTCAGCGTTGACAGAGCAGAGAAGTCTGAAACGCAAAGGCTGCAGATCCAAGAAGCCAAGTACATTGTTCCCGAAACTTAAAAACCAGGTATAAGATCTTTCCAGTGGACATAGAAGGCTGACCACTGTCAGCCAGCTTCCAGCACTGTCCCTGTTCCTAAACACTCCTCCTATGTCAGTCCTGGTGTTTTGTCTTCTTGTATTTCTCCTGGGTTCACAATACAGTTTTGTTAGGGAGATGCCAAGAAAGCACTCAAGCATTCAGTGGTTGCAAGATTCAATTCCACCTTGGAAGTTCCTTTTTTAATTGCCTTCTTTTTTTTTTTTTTTGCTGCCCCACTAACCTTGCCATCCACCTCTTTTCTCCCCTCTTCCTGTTTGCTGATGCTCTCACAGAACAAAGAGTTAAAGACGCTGTCAGAGCAGCTGTCAGCAGTCACCTCCGCACACGACATGGAGGTGGAGAAGCTGAAGAAGGAGCTGGCCTGCTACCAGCAGAACCAGGGTGAGGACAGTGGCCCACAGCTGCAGGAGGAGGTGGAGAGCCTGCGGACCGAGCTGCAGAGGGCCCACTCGGAGCGCAAGGTCCTGGAGGACACCCACATCCGGGAGAAGGATGAGCTGAGGAAGGTCTGTTGGGGCCAGAGGGGTAGCTGGGTGGTGGGTGAGTTAACACAGCACCCCTCCAAGGCAGTTTTGCTTCTTCCAGCTCTACAGCTGCCATGGACTTTTCTGGGGCTTATGCCCAAGACTGACATCCCTCTGCGTTAAGATGTAAAGTGCCCCTGCGTTGGGGGAACGCACACAAGCACGTGTCCATTCACCTGGCGAGTGTTAATTGAATCTCTCCCTTAGGGGAACATGATGGAATCCCCTGAAAGTTTACACGTGTGTGCATGTTCCTTATAGCCTAGAATTAGCCACTGAATCAGCTCTGTGACCTGAGTCCTTCTTGGCAAGAGAAATGGTTTAGAGGTAGTGGCCTTTCTTCCTGATATTGCCTGCAGGGATTAGGGGCAAGCTCATGGCATCCCCTGGGCTTCCCCAGTGGCTCAGCGGTAAAGAATCCACCTGCCAATGCTGGAGATGTAAGTTTGATCCCTGGATCGGGAAGATCCTCTGGAGAAGGGCATGGCTACCCACTCCAGTATTCTTGTCTGGGAAATCCCATGGGACAGAGGAGCCCATTGGTTACAGTCCGTGGGGTCACAAAACAGTCAGACACAACTTAGCAACTAAACAACAAAACACCTAGGTATCCCTCCCCATAATCATAGTGCTTTGGGGAATTTGCCTAAAGTTTAAGTATTGATCGGTTCAGCCTGGCTCATCTACTCTGGTTGGCATGCTCTGTAGGTTTACTCTCCATTCCATAAAATGTAACTTCTGGGATTGGACCCCTGTCCCCCATTGCGAATGTCAAGGAGCCCCTTCTCCACTCCTTAGATAGCTGTCCAAACCAGGGAAGCCCCACATGCCCTGCGGAGCCTTCCACAGCCTCAGTGTTCTATGCCATCCCTATGGTATGGCCCACGTGCTTGGTTCCTGTCCATCACTGGAGAGTCGCAATGGGTTGAGAACCTGTGAGGGAAGGACTCAGTGTTTCTAATGTCAAAATAATAATTTTTAGTATTTAAAAATCTGGGCAAGCAGAATGCTTTCATAGGAATGGTCCTGAAATAGACACTGGAGTTTTTGGATTCTCACCCCTGCATGGCCATTACTAAGTGCACACAGGAAATTTCTCTGACCTTAGTTCACTCATCTGTTTAAAAAGAAAGAAGAAAAGTTGGTTTAGATCCTCTTTAGGCCCCTTCTACTTGCAAGTAGTCAGCTCCACGAGATGGTATTTGATGGCTTCTAGAGGGAAACAGGCCCTTCCTGAGCCCTGCTCTGTGGTGCCTCTCTTGTACGCCTTTATCGTCTCTGGCAGGACCAGAAGTGGGCAGGCTGCCTTCAGTCAAAGCACATGAAAGCCTGCAGAGCCGGAACCTGCTGGGCTTGCCAAGCTGGTTTTGTTTCGTATCCAGGCAGAACTTCCACACCATCTCCACTTTCCCCAAATCCCAGGGTTTTCCCAAAGTCAGAGGGTGAATCCACATGGGGATTATTAAGTCACATTAGGTGACATTGAGATGTAGGACTTCCTAGCGCAGGCACAAAAGTGGCCTCCCTGCAGCATGTTGCCCTGATAAACCTGCCAGCTCACCCACCATGAGGCCTGGAATTGAAACCATTTGGTGTCATTTCAGGTGGGATCCAAAGAGCTCCAGCATGACACTCCTTTATGTCTAAGTGCAGAGAAGAATTCGGTCAGAGCAGAATGGCAGATAAGAAGTGATTTATTAGAATAAGATGCTTGTAAGGCTTACAAGTGGGAGGGCAAGAAATGCCTTGCCCTGCGAACTTAGTGGGCCACAGCTTTATAATCAAAGGAAAAGTGGCAAGAGGGAGAAGACCTTTGTCTTTCTTGAGTGGACATCACATTTCCATCATCATTTCCTTCCCTGGAGAGAGCAGGGGGTTTGACTTGTCCCTCCCTATATGATCAGGCCAGGACTGTCATGTTATTCAGTCACTCAGTCGTGTCTGACTCTTTGCGACCACATGGACTGCAGCACGCCAGGCCTCCCTGTCCTTCACTATCTTCAGGGTTTGACTAAACTCATGTCCATTGAGTTGATGATGCAATTCGACCATCTCATCCTCTGCCACCTCCTCCTCCTCCTGCTCTCAATCCTTCCCAGCATCAGGGTCTTTTCCGTTGAGTTGGTTCTTTGCATCACGTGGCCAAAGTATTGGAGCTTTAGCAGCAGGCCTTCCAAAGAACATTCAGGGTTGATTTTCCTTTAGGATTGACTGGTTTGATTTCCTTGCTGTCCAATGGACTCTCAAGAGTCTTCTGCAGCACCACAATTTGAAAGCACCAGTTCTTCAGCACTCAGTCTTCTTTATGGTCCAACTCTCACATCCACACATGACTACTGGAAAAACCATAGCCTTGACTAGATGGACCTTTGTCAGCAAAGTTATGTCTCTGCTTTTTAATATGCTATCTAGGTTTGTCATAGCTTTTCTTCAAAGGAGCAAGTGACTTTTAATTTCATGGCTGCAATCACCATCCACAGTGATTTTGGAGCCCAAGAAGATAAAATCTGTCACTGTTTCCATCGTTTCCCCATTTATTTGCCATAAAGTGATGGGACCAGATGCCATGATCTTAGTTTTTTGAATGTTGAGTTTTAAATCAACTTTTTCACTCCTTTCCTTCACCTTTATCAAGAGATTCTTTAGTTCTTCTTCACTTTCTGCCATGAGGATGGTGTTATCTGCATATCTGAAGTTATTGATATGTCTCCTGACAATCTTGATTCCAGCTTGAACTACATTCAGCCCAGCATTTCACATGATGTACTCTGCATAGAAGTACAATATACAGCCTTGACGTACTCCTTTCCCAATTTGGAACTAGTCTGTTGTTCCATGTCCAGTTCTAACTGTTGCTTCTTGACCTGCATACAGGTTTCTCAAGAGGTGGATCAGGTGGTCTGGTACTCCCATCTCTTGAAGAATTTTCCACAGCTTTTTATGATCCACACAGTCAAAGGTTTTCGTGTAGTTAACGAAGCAGAAGTAGGTGTTTTTCTGGAATTCTCTTTTTTCTATGATCCAACAGATACTGGCAATTTGATCTCTGGTTCCTCTCTGCCTTTTTCTAAATCCAGCTTGAACATCTGGAAGTTCATGGTTCACATATTGTTGAAACCTACCATGAAGGATTTTGAGCATGAGCTTGCTAGCATGTGAAATGAGTGCAATCGTGGGGTACTTTAAACATTCTTTGATATTCCTCTTCTTTGGGATTGTAATGAAAACTAACCTTTTCCAGTTCTGTGGCCACTGCTGAGTTTTACAAATTTGCTGGCACATTGAGTGCAGCACTTTCACAGCGTCATGTTTCAGGATTTGAAATAGCTCAACTGGACTTCCTTCACCTCCACTTGCTTGGTTCGTAGTGATGCTTCCTAAGGCCCACTTGACTTTACAGTTCAGGATGTCTGGCTCTAGGTGAGTGATCACACCATTGTGGTTATCCAGGCCATTAAGATCTTTTTTGTATAGTTCTTCTGTGTATTCTTGCCACTTCTTCTTAATATTATCTGCTTCTGTTAGGTCCATACCATTTCTGTCCTTTATTGTGCCCATCTTTGCCTGAAATGTTGTTCCCTTGGTATCTTTAATTTTCTTGAAGAGATTTCTTTTCTTTCCCATTTGATTGCTTTCCTCTATTTCTTTGCATTGTTCACTTAGGAAGGCTTTCTTATCTCTCCTTGCTATTCTTTGGAACTCTGCATTCAGATGAATATAGATATATTCATATCTATATCAAAAAGAAAGATTTCCTTTTCTTCTTTGGCTTTAGCTTCTCTTCTTTTCTCAGCTATTTGTAAGGCTTCCTCAGACAACTATTTCACCTTTTTTGCATTTCTTTTTCTTGGGGGATGGTCTTGATCACTGCTGCTTGTATGTTACAAACCTCCATCCATAGTTCTGAAAGCACTCTGTCTATCAAATATAATCCTTTGAATCTATTCATCACCACCACTGTATAATCATAATGGATTTGATTTAGGTCATACCTTATGGCCTAATAGTTTTCCTTACTTTCTTCAATTTAAGTCTGAATTTTGCAATAAGGAGTTCATAATCTAAGGCACAGTCAGCTCATGGTCTGATTTTTGCTGACTGTTTAGAGCTTCTCCATCTTTGGGTGCAAAGAATATAATCAATCTTACTTCGATATTGACCATCTGGTGATGTCCATGTGTAGAGTCATCTCTTGTGTTGTTAGAAGAGGGTGTTTGCTATGATCAATGCATTCTCTTGGCAAAACTGTTAGCTTTTGCCATGCTTCAGTATCTCTTGACTTCCTACTTTTGCATTCCAGTCCCCTATGATGGAAAGAACTTTTTTTGTGTGTTAGTTCTGAAAGGTCTTACAGGTCTTCAAAGAACCATTTAACTTCAACTTCTTTGGCATTACTGGTTGAGGGCTGTTTTAGCACTTTGGAAAAATATTTTCAGGTCTCAGTGCACTGAGGGTTTTTCATTTTGAAAAGTCAGCTTCCCATAAATGATTGTTCTTGTGTGCACAGAGCCTGTTTTGGAGGTCATTAACTTATTGAGTTCACTGGGCAGGATCCGGTCTCATGCCACCACTGTTTTATCATTGAGGGCATGTCCTGCGCTTCTGTTGCATGGTTTTGTGGTTAAGCAAGCCTGCTTTCTCGAGTAATCATTAACTTACAGGAATTTCCCATGTTTTTCTACTTAAAATCCCCTAGTGAGATAAACTATTGAATCACCTATTTTGTCCCTTCATTCTGTCCCTATCAGAATGAACTTCATTCTTCGGGGTAAAGCACATGCTTAAGGAAACTAATGTAGCTATTAATACAAGTCTATAACCTATAAAGCATGAAATTCCAAACTTGTGGTTTATGAATCCCTGAGAACAGATAGTCAGTAACCCTTGTGTGTGAATAAAAGACAAGAAGATGAAATCAAAAGCCAGAGAAAAGAAACCAAGACTGAGACCTGAGACTGGTGATCCTAGGAGAAAAAGAAAAGCAGGTTCTCTGCATGTGGATGCTGGTCACACAAGATGGTGTTAACCCAGCAGATCACAAAACCGGGGTCTCCTGTCTTTGCCCCCATGGACAGCACTTGACTCATCGACTGCCCAGGCTCCTTCCCTGCTACTCCTGGGACAATGGGATTTAGGGACCCAGAGCACTTTTAAAATATCCATGTCTCCATCCTAGGGAGCCTAAGGGTTGATAATATCCCAGTCTTCCTCCACAGAGCCAAATTAGGAAATGGGCTCCCTCCTACTTGCATTTGAAAAAATTGTTTGTATTGAAGTCTTGACCTGGGTCTTAAATACAATGAGATCTTGGTCCTGGCAAGGAAAAAGAAATTCAAGGACATTGAAAAGAAAAGGAATAGCAGGCACAGAGGCAGAACAAGAAAAGTACCTTCCCGACTCCAAACACAAGCACATCCTAAACTGGTCACATAAAGTGTGAAGTCTGCCTTTTTCCAGGAGGAGAACACGCTTGCAGGCATGCTAAGTTGCTTTAGTCATGTCCGACTCTGTGCAACCGTATGGATTGTAACCCACCAGGCTCCTCTGTCCATGAGATCCTCCAGGCAAGAATACTGGATTGGGTTGCCGTGTCCTCCTCCAGGGGATCTTCCTGACCCAGGGATCGCACTTGCAGCTCTTATGTCTCCTGCACTGGCAGACTGATTCTTTACCACTTGTGCCACCTGGGAAGCCCCAGGAGGAGAACAAGTGGAAGCACATTTTCGTCTTTCTCTAACGTCTTCCAAACATTTATTCTGGTGGCTGTGGTCATGGGCAGGTGTGGACTGGCTTTGTTCCCCTCTGATTCTTCTCTGCCAAGTCAGGGTTTAATATTTATCAAAGGCCCTGTGTCCAATCTTAACAAACACTGCATAATCAGACAATTGGTTTCTTCTCCGGCTTATCCAACAGCCTGCTCCTCGCTGAACAAGATTGATGACATGGATGAATCAGGGAGGGAGCTGGCTGCTGGCAGAAGTTAATTAATGGATTTGATGTTTTGGTCAGCAAATGCTGTATTGGAACTAACATCCTGGAAGACTTTAGGCTCTGCACCCCTGACAGGATTCTCATCATCAGCCCACATGGCCAGGCTGCCTGGGGCTGCGGGAGGCCAGGTACCCCTGAGGGCAGGAATTCAGTGCAGAGCCTGGGCATTCCCGCTGCCCCAGTCCAGCCATAGATGTTAGTTGACAGCTGGTCTGTTAAAGGTACCTGTTGTCCTGGTCTCTCCCCAGAGTGGTCTGCATCTCAGCCTGCCGCCTTCCTTTCTTTTAGCCTGTGGGATGTGTGTTTTATTTGTTCTTAAAGCTATCAGTGATCCCTATGCTGACTGCTTGTGCAGCTGTGCTCTTTCCTGTCCTTGATGAAGGAGCCGTGACTCCCAGGCCTGCTGCTGACACAGAGGCCACGGCTCGTTATCCAGAGTCTGCTCTGTGGTGAGGCCAGCACGACCTGGCTTGGTGCAGGGTTGCAGGTGGGTGACGAGCAGCCCACAGCCAGGTCCCTGGCTCTGAGCAAGGGGCCCTGATGTTTGTGAGCCCCAGGCCTTGAGTATTCAGGCTGGTGCAGTTGGGATTCTGCGTTGTATCATGTCATTGGTCACCACACCACCAGCTGGTATTGATCTTGGGTAGTTCCCATGTAAAGGCTTTGGGGTTTTCCAAATACAAGTAAATAGATCCACCTTTGCAGGTAGTAGGTTTCTCACAGTGGAGTGCCGAGTCTTCCCCCAAAAGGTGCAGTGCAGGACTTCTTTGGCCCGTTAAGACTCAGAACTGTGCTATCAGTACACTTCCTGGGTCCAGAGAGGCTGATGGTTTTTAGAAAGAGGACGCCATGCAGCCTCATGGAAGGACATTATCTCACTGCAGCCTTTCTCAGTGCTCACAGCCCTTCATTCATTCTCTTGTTATTTGGTGAGCATGTCTGTTAGGCCCTGTTCTGTACCCTGGGGAAAAAGTAAGCAATTTTAAAAGCACCATTTTTATGGTGCTTAAATATTTGGGGGTTATTGGAGAATGCACAGACAGGAATCAAACACAAATTATCCCTTGTGGGCTGTAAAGAGAAATAAAGCAGAGGAAAGGGATCCAGAGGGAGCCACGTGAACAAGGGAGGTTGTTTCATTCGTGATGGCCAGAAATGCCCTCTGAAAAGACACCCAAGTGAGGCGAGGAGTGAGCCGTGAGGACGTCCAGGGAGCAGGTGATACTTGTAATGGTACATCCACCGGCCCTGAGGTAGGAGCAGGTTAGGTGGGTTCAAGGCCCAACCCTGAGGCCATTGGGCGGAGATGGAGAAAGCAAGGAGAAAGGTGGTGAGGTCAGAAGAGGAAGGATCTTCTGGCCTTGAAGGCAGCCCGGGCCGTGAACCCTCCAGAGAGAGCAGCAAGCCTGTCTGAGACCGTCAGTCCCTGCCGCCCCGAACTCCATCCTGAAGCTCTGTTGTCAGAATCAGGCCTCTGGGGCCTGCTCCAGGCTGTGGCCATCACTGTCCTTCAGGTGTCAGCCCTCTGACCTGTTGGGATGCGGGTGGCCTAGGGGCGAAGAGCCGGGACCCGTTCGGCTCAGGGTCACAGCCTGCAGTACCCCTGCCTGGCTGTGTGACCTTCAGCCAGCTCGCTAGCTTTCCTGTGCCTTGGTTTCCTTAAAAGCCGATGATGATGGCCCCCGCCTCACAGGTATTAAGGAAGCGATAATGGCACCTAGGACCTAGTTCAAGCTCAATGACTGTTAGCTCCTTATTCCCTCTGCCAGCCTGAGACTGGGTGGAGAGCAAGGGCTCCGCCTTAGTATCCTTGGGCCCCACCCTTGCTCCTGGTCCCACGTCTTGGTGCAGTGGGTGCTGAGTGACAGAAGCTGTGATGCTGACCCTGAGGTCTGCGCCTTGCCAAGCCTCTCCCTGGGGCTCTTTTTAATGATGGGACAGTCGCTCCCCCTCCCTGTAGCAGTGCGAGAGCCTCCTCTCTCTGTGTAGGAGCCCAGCCCAGCGAGCGGAGTTCCAGGTGAGTTCACGCTGCGCTTCTGCTCAGCCTACTGTGCACTTTCTGTCTCCTCCTCCTCTCTGCTCGGGTCGATTTACCTTCTTCTCAGTGAATAGGCCAGCAGTGCTTCCAGAACTCTGCAGAATTGGAAGTGTCCCTGCTGTGGGCCAGCTTTATGCTGTGTACCTTTGTGTGAGATGGTAGGTACACAGCCGGGAGGACAGAGGACCCAGATCCTGGGGGCAGAAGAGTATCCTCCAATCCACTTGTCCCATGGTTTTCTGCTAGAAAACTTGCATCTGGCTCTTTTTACAGTGCAAATGCCCAATCTGAAAAAATTTATTGTTGTTCAGTCACTAAATCATGTCTGACTCTGAGACCCCATGGACTGCAGCACACCAGGCTTCCCTGTCCTTCACAATCTCCTGGAATTTGCTCAAATTAATGTCTGTTGAGTCAGTGATGTCATTCAACCATCTCATCCTGTATCGCTCCCTTCTCCTCCTGCCCTCAATCTTTCCCAGGGTCAGGGTCTTTTCCAAAGAGTTGGCTCTTCGCATCAGGTGGCCAAAGTATTGGAGCTTTAGCATCAGGCCTTCCAGTGAATCTTCAGGGTTGATATTCTTTAGGATTGACTGGTTTGATCTCCTTGCTGTCCAAGGGACTCTCAAGAGTCTTCTCCAGCACCACAGTTTGAAAACATCAATTCTTTGGCACTCAGCCTTCTTTGTGGTCCAACTCTCACATCCATACCTGACTACTGGAAAAACCATAGCTTTGACTCTGAAAAAATAAGGCAAGACAGAACAAAACCAAAAGCCCAGAGCTACATAGTAAAGGCATTTACTGAGCTAAGGTATGTGTTTCATTTAACTTACCAGGGGCTAAATTAGCCTCAGAGTAACAGGATTTACATCATTGTTGGTTCCCATGATCTGTCCCAAAAAACCTGTTAGAGGTAAGAACACTCCTAGTAATATTTCCTGGCAAGAGTTAAAAGACCCCCTCCACTAAAAAGAAAAAAAAGAAGAAGAAGAAGAAAGAAAAGGAACTGCTGCTTGGTGCTTAATGAGTCCCCAAACCTGGTGATCGTGCTATTTTGTTATTTCTCATGCTGAGGGAACACACCTCAATTCTGTGTTGCTAAGTGTCTCTCACTACAGCCTGCATCCCTGCCAACAAAAGGAAGGCCACTTGGCTGCAGAAGATTGTCACCCTCATGTCTGCCAGCAACTCTCCGTCTGCTAGCTGGCTGGGGAGACTAGGGGTGGCCAGCACCTGGGGAAGTGTGATTGGGGAAGCACTCTCTGCCCTCCTGGGATGTGGAGCTGGGATGGGGCCCATGCCTCCAGCTGTGGGCCCACTTCCAGAACTGCTCCTACCAGGAAGAAAAGCAAAGCTCCCCAGTGCCACTTTGATGAATGGTTTAGAATAACAAAGCTGAGTTCATCAGAGGCCTGCCTTCTAGAATCAGGGAGGGAGATGGAGGAAAGAAATGAGGCTTATGCACAACAGAAAATTTTAGTGGGTCCATGCTCATAAGTATGACTCTCCCCAACCAGAGTTTTGGCTGAGATTGTAGCTCACAGGTGGTTGCAGTGAGGCTTCATAATCTCGGGCTGCATTCAGGCAAGTGGAGGTTTCAGGTCCAACCTCATGGTGGTGGCACATGCCCTCTGTACCAGGCAGGTGACACGTTCCATTTCATAAGGTCATCGCCTGCCTGTAGGATGCTCAGAGGATGGTGAGGGATCATGGAAGCCGTCTCAGGTGACCACCTGCTCTTTGAGCTGCCCGCATGTTCAGAGGGTTGTTTAAGGGAAGCAGAGTCTAGTTTTATGGGAAGTCTGGTTACTTCACAGCCTGCTCTGAACACCCACCTCCTGGGGCCACTGTCTCAGAGGTTGTAGCCTTGTGCCTTGAAGCGGGGCTGGAGTCCTGCCCTCCTGACCATGGCACCAGGTGGAGCTTCACTCCGACTAAACCCTGGGCATTATTTTGTAGAGGTTCACTCCACGTGGTTTCTTCTGTTGGTGGTTTTCTGTTTGACTTTACTCGTACATCTAGAAAAGGGAAAGCTATTTTGATTATTTGCCAAGCTAATTTACAGGCACACATGAGATCTTTGCATGGTGAACTGTGTCCAATAACAGCAAATTATTTTCCAGTAGTGTATATGCCTCCTGAATTGAATTATTTGATTAAACAAGCTCATGTATTCTAGAGGTTTTAGTCAATTATAAACAAATTTTTAGAACAACAACAAAAAAACCTTTAATGGAGTCCGGGGTTTTACATCGGGAAAGCTTCAGCTCCTTGAGATCTGCAGGGCTCCTCATTCCTTCATCCAGTGTTGAGTGCCGGCCCAGGCTGGTTCCGATGATGTGGCAGCATAGCACATGGCCCCTGGGTCCTCACTGAGGCCTCTGGTCCAGGCCGAGCAGGTGGCAAGGAAGCTGAGCCTCTGCCCGCGGGGGTTGGGGGTTTGAGGGGGGGCCCTACAGGGACAGGTAGGCCCTGGAAGAGCCACATGCCCAGCACAGGCCCCACCCACACCTGCAGGGCAGGAAGACTTCCTGGAAGAGTGTCAGTGGAGAACTAAACTGTGAGAAGAAGTTATCCAGGGAGAGTGGGGACAGGCAAGCTTGGCGGGGGGAACACAGAGATGCTCAGGCAGCTGCTGGAGGGTGTGCAGAAGCTGGGCCCTCTGCTCAGGGCCTCTCCAACCTGAGGACAGAGGAAAAGTCTTTCCCAGCCTGGTTCTCACTCCCTCCACCCGCCCAACTTTGTCTTTTCTCAGCCACCTGCCTGAACCGCATGTAAACACCACCACGTGGCCCGGCTAAGGCTCCCAGGCCAGGCCTCCCACCCCACTGCACCAGCTGCTCTCCTGTCTATAGACAGCCCGTCCCCTGGCCGCCTGGGAGAGCCCGGATCCAGGCCTGGCCCAGACAGCCTGCTCCTCCTGCCTGTCGGTACCATTCCTGGTGACCTTCTCCTCCTGACTCACTTGGCGGTGGTGATTCTCAACAAGGGAGTTGCACTGCCTTCTGAGTTCCTAAGGGGAGAACCACAGACCTCGCTCCTGGGCTCCAGCCTTGTTGAAAGTCTCTCTTGACCCTGTCTATGTGATGCTGAGAGTGGAGGAAGCAGTTATCTTAACTCACCTCTTGGTGCCTTAAGTTTACCTTTAAAGCCAGAAGGAAGGGAAAAGGGCGTTAATTGAAACATAGCCAGTTGAAACTCCAACTTCTCCAAGGCTTCTGCCCTGTAGCCAGCATCCTTGGGGCCTCCTTTCCTGCTTTTACTGCCACGGGGGTCTAACAGAGCTTGAAGGGCATGCAGGTGAGTCCTCTAGGATCTGAGTGACCATCTCTCCCCCTAGATTCTGTGCTACAATGTCCCAGATAATGATTCTGGAGGTCCCCATCGAGTCTTTGTGCACAGGCCAGTTATGACATGTTCTGTTATTGTACCGAGGAAGGCATTTTGAGGCTCTTTGTACACAGGTTGGGAAGAATCCTCTCCCAAGGAGGTCATAAGATGTAGCAAAAATAGCCAGAACTGATTTCTTGAACCAAAGGGATAGAGGTAGTCCGCGGTGTCATTCAGCACAGTCTGCAGGGATGCTCGTCACTCGGACCACAACCTGGGAGCCTGCCTCACACTCATTTTTAAAAATCTTTTGCCACAGCTAGCACTTTGCATCACACTTAGTAAAGTAACAGCTTCACTGAATATAGTTCACACAGCACAGATGAAAGTCTACAGCAAGTCTTTTTCCCTTCCCCAGCATCTGGGCTGTACTGGTCCAGGGAGACCAACATGGGCAAGAGGGAATAAAGATCAGAGGCAGGTCTTCATTGTTAGCATCAGGCTTTCCTGAGACTCAAATTGGAGAGCTCAGAATTTACCAAGACATGGAACTAAATATGCCACAGTGGGGAAAGGGTTCTAACAAAAGAGAGCTGAAAAAGAAGGGTGATCTTTAAGATCCCGCTGCCAAATTTGGTTTCAGGAGGTATCATGCAGTGAGATGACACATAATAGACAATATAATGCATGCGATCTGGGTCAGGGAGACCGTGCGCTCCAAGAGTGACGATGCAGTGTGCTACTGCATGGCCTTGAGCAAGTCCCTCAGTGACTGCAGTCCTCAGTTTCTTCATCTGCAAAATGGACATAAGGGTACAGACCTCAGCCTGTGACATGCTTAGGATGGTGCTTGACCTGTCGTGAGCACTTAGGAACCATCATTATTGCTAGTTTAAAGTTTAGCATGCACAGTACCTGTTGTGGCTTCTTCTACCCAATGGGTCACCTGTCAGTGTTTGCTGGAGAGGCGGTCACGGACTGGATCCCAGGGCCCCTCTCTCAAGCATGCACGACCCGGGCTCCCTCAGCTCCAGTACGATGCCTGATCAAAGCGGAGCAGGGCACGCAGACCCCGGTTCTCCGGCGACTCAGTGCGGCCTTCAGCAGGTGGCTCCCCTCCCGTCCCAGCTCCTCCACTGGGCCACCCGAGTGCACAGACCCGCCCAGCGCAGTCCTGTTGAAAACATTTAAGAGTTCTAAATTTCCCTTTAAAAATTGTCTGTTTTCCACTGATTTGAATTGCAAGTGTAGATGGGAGAATAGTCCATCTACGTTCCCTCCTTCTCTTCCCTCCTCCCCCTAACATAACCTGTGGCCTTGTCTCCTGGAGCCCCCTTTAATCTCTCTGCACGATAGGAACCTGAACGGCCAGGAACAGGGAGGGTGCTCGGGAAGACTCCTGGGTTCTCCCGTTGCTGTGACAGCTGTCTCGAGGGAAGGGCAGGCGCAGTAACCGAGGGAGCTGTGGTGTGTGTGGCGGCTTCTCTCCCTGGCCCCTGGGGGTGAGTGGGGCCTTCTCCCTTTCTGGAGACTGGAGCCGGGACCACGCTGCCCTGGGCTCTGCCGTGGGAGGGGCCGTTGAATAAACTCGTCAAGTATCTGCGTCCTGAGCTTGTCGTGGGCGGCCTCTTCACCGGTGGTTAGTCACTCGTCTCCGAGTGAGCGGACGTGAGGGACAGCCACACTGAAGCAGCACTGTGGCTGCGGGCGCTTGCTTTCCAGATGATTTTGCCCAGAAGTCTGTCAAGGAAAACCTCGTGATGAAGAAGGAGCTGGAGGAGGAGCGCTCCCGGCATCAGAACCTCGTGAAGGAGTATTCCCGGCTGGAGCAGAGATACGACAACCTTCGGGACGAGATGACCATCCTAAAGGCAAGGAGGGCAGTCCTGACGCCCACCCACCGACTCTGCGCCCTTTTTCCCACGCAGCCGCCACCCCGGCACGGCTCTCCGCACAGTGATGCTCTGGACCGGTGTCCCCCCAACCCCGAGAGTCCTCACCCTGCCCGTGGGTGGTTCTCACACAAGCAGGTGGCAGGGTGATGAGTCGTTCCCAGGGCAGCTGCTTTTCCAGCTTTGGGGGCTCATGAAGATCTCAGGGATTGAAGGGAAATTCCACCCGTGTGAATATATCCCCTTTCTTATTTCTGTTCTAGAAAAACCCCTGTGTGAGAGCAGGAAGGGTGTGCGGAGAGCATACTGCAGGCAGGCCTTCGAGAGCCTGATGGTTTGTCCTAGTCCTCAATGCGCATGTGAATACATAGGCGCATTTCAATATTTCAAGATTTGCCATTCTTTTTTACCGCATGTAACTGCTCCCTCCATAAATGCACAAACAAGACTAAGTTAATTGCATAGAAACCAGGAAGAGAAGCTGAATAGGAACATATATAGAAATCTAAAATTTCCCTACCAAGATTGGTTTTGACTCTCAAAGCCAAATCAGATGCAAAGGGGGAAAAAGTTATTTTTAAGTGAACAGTATAAATAGTATAAATGGTAAGCTCTATTTCTAATATGCTTACTATTTTGAAAAACAGAATTGGTGGTGTGCAGGTTGAAGCAGGGGCTGCGAGGGGCTGGAGTGAAGCGTTCTCTTCAAGAGGGAGGCTGATGACAGGACTGTGTGCACTTCAGAGCGATGGGGTTAAGGGTCGTTTCAGAGAAAATCCGCCCAAGAGTTGGGGGTTTGCACTGAGGGACCGCAGGCCCGCTGTGGGGCTGTGTTCTCCTTGACGTGTCATTCTGTTGCTTGGCTAGATGGATGGAAGAACTGTAGGTGAAGTTTCTAATTGGAACAGCTCTATTTAGCCACCACTCCAAGAATCAGTGGTACCCATTCTTGTTGACAAATGAGGCAGAAGTCTACTCTAGGGTCTACCATTACTTGAAAAGTGATAGCTCTTATTAACATTAATTAACATTAATTCATTTGAGTTTTCACTTTCTCTCCCTAAACAGCAAACCCCAGGCCACCGGAGGAACCCGTCAAACCAAAGCAGCTTAGAATCTGACTCCAATTATCCCTCCATCTCCACATCTGAGGTCGGAGACACAGAGGACACCCTCCAGCAGGTGGAGGTGAGGAAGGAAGGCTCTTGGCTGGTCTCTGTGGGTGGGGCGGGGTTGGTGACCCGTGTGGAACCCCCAAGGCACTGTTCTGTTGCTGGCAACCACAGTGCCTATGACTCATTTCTGACAGCAGGACCGCTTGGACTATGGTGGACTTATCGACTCTCTTATCAGCTCTTTGGAGTTGATATTTACTGTGCAAGGCAATAATTTATTGTTCCCACTCTACATAAAGAAAGATCCCTGATGCCTCTTGCAAAACTGAGGGACCTACTGCAGAGAGGTGAAATAGCTGGAGGAGCTAAGTCATTAAAACAGATGTAAATTAGCATCCCCACTTACTGCCACGGTGCATATAGTCATATCAACAGATACACAAGAAAATTTTCCTTCCTGACTAAGCAGCCGGATAAAATTCAGAGGACAACAACAAATATTTAAAACTATAGATATTTGCAGAATGACTGTTTCTTTGTCAGTAGTGGCCTCGTAGAGTCACTCAATGGTCTTCATAGTCTGTGTGTAATTTTATCAAAGGTACGTAGACACATGATTTTTTTCTCTGCCATTTGAAAAGCAGAAAATGACAAGCATGTAAAACCTTATGTAGCATGTGGAGATAGATGTGGAAGAGATAAAAACAAATGTGACAAATGAAAAACAAATAAACAAAAATGTACTTTGAGACGTCCTTGTGCCAGACACTGCTGCCAGGTGCTAGAGAAACAGTAGGGACTGACCCAGAGGAGGTCCCTGCCTGTATGAAGCTTGTCTGATGGATAGCTAGACAATAATCAGTTGATGGAAGATGCTGGCTTAAGACTCTTCATTTTGCTTTGCAATCTCCTCCTTTTTCAGAGGCTTTGGTCAGCCTGAACACCAGATGCACCACCCAAGTGTTTCTATGTGTGAGAAGTTTACATGCAGACATAAGCACTTGCATCAGTGGATTTATGTTCTTTAAGGAAGCTGAGGCTAGGTCTTGGGACTGGCTGAGCAATGAACCCAGTGCTGGCTAAGCACGAAACATTCATTAAGTGCTGGATGAACCAAATTTTGTTGTCCCATATGTACACACATATACTTTCTAAAAAAACTTTTCATTTTGTATTGGAGTATAGCCGATTAGCAAACAGTGTTCTGATAGTTTCAGCTTAACAGCCAAGGGACTCAGCCATAGGTATACATGTTTCCATTCCTCCCCCCCTTTAAAAATCCATGTGGATATGCTTGTGTAGATATCTGCATTTGTCACCCCCACATTTGACAAACTCTTGCGGACAACCCAGGCATGAATCTTAAGGAAGAAACCTACTGGGAATGGGTGGTGTGGAGCCTGTTGGATAAGTGGGTTGCCTGGCAGGACAAGTGTTGGTTTTGTTTCGAGGTGCAGTTGCATGGCGTTTGACAGCCCATTTATAGCCATTAGCAACCACACTGATCCTTCATCAGGATGTGTTACATCCTGAGTTTTATAGTGTCTCTGGTTCCAGACCATTCTCTAGAAATGTGCTCTTTTAACTTCCAAATAAAGTGGCTGCGTCTTTATCCATCTGTTCCCAGAGTGTATGATCAGTCATCTTAAGTGTCTCACATGGGAACAATACAGGTGACTGAGACGCAGATGTTCTCCAATATGAGAATGCCACATGGATGGCATTGGCTTTGTCTCAGAAGTCTGGATTGGTGATGTCTGGGAGGGAGACGGAGGACAGACAGCTGACATGAGGGTGCTGTGTGTTCCCTAAGGCATTCGTGCTATTAAAACCTTCTCTTCCTGTTTCCTGTCTTCCCTGAAGGAAATTGGCCTGGAGAAGGCGGCCATGGACATGACTGTCTTCCTGAAGCTGCAGAAGAGGGTGCGAGAGCTGGAGCAGGAGAGGAAGAAGCTGCAGGTGCAGCTGGAGAAGAAAGAACAGCAGGATGGCAAGAGAGTCCCGGTGCGTGAAGGGGCTGCAAGCCCGTGGGGCCATGCTCCCAGGGTGCTGGCTTCAAAATGATCCTGCTCACTCCTGCCAGGGCACATAGGCCGGGCATGACCCTGCAGGTCATGCCGGGCCTGGGTGTCAGGGAAGCGCTTCCTCTCGTGTTGGTGACCTATTGAGTCTTCTCTGCCAGTGCCCACATCACCTTGGTCGGACAGGAGTCTGCTTCCCCAGTAACCCCAGGGCAGAGAATTTCCACTGGTGAAGCCAGCAGGGAGCCTGTATCATTGTCACTCCCTTGCAAAGAGAACCAGGGTGTGATTAGAGTATAAATACAGATGACCCTTGAACAACTCATGTTAGAGGCACCCAACCCTCTGCACAGTTGAAAATTCACTTGTGACTATAGTCAGCTGTGGTTCTACATCTGAGGAGTCAACCAATCACAGATTGTGTCCTGCTGTAGAATTCACCATTGAAAAACGTGCAAACTTAAGTGGACTCATGCAGTACAAACCCAGGTGGTTCAAGGGTCGACTGTGTAGGCAAAAGTCAAATCTCAGAGAAAATTGATGGCCTTTTGTACCTGGAATCTGGTGTTGGCTTGAGTTTAACCCCATTGGGTCAGGGGCAGAGCGAGTTTGCAGTCACCCTTCTTTCCTAGGACTGTACCTTCGTCTCAAGCTAAGTTATCATCCGCATCTTGGGTCTTGAAAAGATATTTCTTGAAACCTTAGTGTCTGCAGATGTATGGCTCCGTCTATGGACCCACTGGACACCTATGCAGCACTCAGCGTTGTGCTGGTGTTGGACTCATTGTACGTGTTGAATGTTTATTAAATGAAGGAAATTCAAACAAAAGAGAAATTCACAGATTGACTAGATTGTAAATTCGAGGGATGTATAATCCAGTTCAGGGGGACCAGATATAACACTGATGAAAAATAAAAAATACCATTGGTAGTATTTTTAATAAGTGCCAGGTTGAGTACAGACAGGTTGGTGCTGTAGGGATAGAGAGAGTCCACTGCCGTTAGTAGTAATGCAGAGGTAAGCGCCACTTGCTATAAGGACCACTTCTGATGGGATTCGAGGCCATTCTGGACAAGGATCACATGATTAGCTGACTTCATAGTGGGTTTGTGGAAGGCCTTGGGTCTGTTCTCAGGCCGTAATTGTCCATTGTGGGGTTTGACCCCCTCCCTGCATCCTCAGCCCCACCCCCATCCTACCCCCACACACCGTCTCCTTGTGTGACACCCGACCTCCTTTCTAATCAAGTGTGACACAGATGCTGACCTGAGTTACTGGTAAATTCCTGGGCTTTTTCCTGAGCAGTAAGTGGGGAGGTAAATCTTGCTGATGGATTTAAATCTCTTAGGTGGATTAGATGCAGAATGGGGAGTGAAAGGATTTATAAATGACTCATTCAATTAGGAGAGAAGCTGCCCTGACAGGTGAGCATGAATCAAACAGATGAAAAGCTCACAGACATCACACCAGGCCTGACCTGGAAGTTCCTGGCCTCTCGGCTGCCCCTGCAGACTCACTTTGCAGGCTCCCCATCCCAGGAATGCCAAATAACTTCAGAATCTTGGCTTTCAGACTTCTGCTTGTGTTGACACCAGATAAAGGCGGGTATGGTGGTAGTGGTGATTTAGTTGCTCAGTCGTGTCTGACTCTGCAACCCCATGGACTGTAACTACCCAGGTTCCTCTGTCCATGAAATCTCCCAGGCAAGGACTCTTTGCAACACATGGACTATAACCACCCAGGCTTCTCTGTCCATGGACTTTCCCAGGCAAGAATACTGGAGAGGGTGGCCATTCCCTTCTCCAGGAGATCTTCCCGACCCAGGGATCCAACTTGGTCTCCTGCATTGCAGGCACACTACCTTCTGAGCCAGCAGGTAGGCTATCTCCTTAAAAAAATAATCACTGACCAAGAGTCAGAACTGCAGGTTTGGCTCAGAGCCCTGGAATGTGCATGGAGGATCTCTGCTTAAGAAGAATGGCCTTGTTTCTGCCAGAATTCAGTAAGGAAGGCAGAAGTGGGGAGGGGAGAGTATGGGATCTCTCTGCAGAAACCCTGAAACTGAACTTTCTGAGAGTGTGTTCTGGGGTCTGCCCTTGGTCCCAGGAGGAATTCTGAGCCACCTGGGTCTTTATTTTGGAGCAGTATGGCCCCGGGCTCAGCTCGAGAGAGGCCAGGCTCTGGATATGGAATGACGGGGAAGACAGTAGGGAGTCTATCAGAGTGGGTGTGACTGAGCCTGCCTTGGTGGGGACCCTCTCGGACAGCCAGTCGGTGTGTCTGACTTCCCATCCCCCCTGCTCCCTCTCCTCCAGTCTGGCTACCAGGGGTTTTCCAGTGGGCGATCTGCTTAGAAACGTAACTGCCAATCCACCTGAATACAGTGCTTCAGGTTTTGCATAGATGATCTCCGTTTTCCAAGAACCTAATGCTGTTAATGTGGGGCAAACCCCTGCCGCGATGGACAGCAGCCCAGGCCTTTCCCCAGGGCAGCAAGTCACAAGCTGACCCCGAGTGGTCAGAGCCCCACCCCTGGGGACGCTGGGAGACGAAGCAGAGGCCGGGACCCTGGAGAGCTGCTTTCCCAGGTCACAGGCTGGAAACCGTGGGCCAGTGTCACCGTCCTTGACCTCAAAGGGGCTTCAGGAGGGGCTCAGATGCAGCCCCTGCCTCTCAGCCTGGGACACACCTCATCTATCGACAGCTGGACTTCAGGCTGCCAGCACTATGTATAATCTAATTAAACGCTGTCAGGTTTAAACACCCTAAACCTCTCTCCTTCATGGACCATCACCCACTACTTGAGATCACCCCAAGCAGTTAACCCTTTATAGAGGTTTGTCTACCCCTTCCCAGTAGACAAGTCAAGTCCAAGAGCTGCCAGACAATTCCAGGAGTCCTTGGCTCAGCTGAGTCTTAATGGGCGAGTATTCCCGTGGTTGTCATTGACAACCCCAGGGGTGGAGCTGTGATGTCAGACCGCATCCACGGTGTTCTGTAGTAGGCCAGCTGGCCCACTGCCTGTTGGAGTTTCTTATAAGGACCTGGAGGAAGCAGACTTCTCCACAAGGTGCTCAGAGTAACTTTGTTGGGAAAACAGACCGTTCATGTGCACACATATCCCCCCAAAAAAACCAAAGAGGAGCTCGTCAACCTCATAATAAGTACAGAATTGTTAACCTTCTTAGTAAGCACACAGGTCTGATGGTGTTAGTTTTGTAGGGCTGCTGAAACAAAGTACCACAAACTAGATGGCTGAAAACAACATGAGTTGATTCCCTCTTGGCTCTGAGACCAGAAGTCAGAAATTCAGTGGTCAGCAGGGCTGTGGTCTCCTAAGGGCTCTTGGGAGATGACTCCAGTCTCCGCCTCCATCCTCAGGTCACGTGGTGCTCTTTCCTATGTGGGTATCTTTCCTCTCCTTATAAGGACCCCAGTCATGTCCGACTAGGGACCATCCTAATGACCTGCTCTTGACCTGCTCACATCTGCAAGGGCCTGTTTCCAAATGGGGTGACATTCACGGGTACCAGGGGTTAGGGCTTCAGTGTATCTTTTTAGGGGACATGGTTCAACTCATAACAGTATGATTTGTATTCAACCTGTAAGTGCTCATGAAGATCATGTGCATGAAGTTATGTAGGGCATGTGGGCAGGCAGGGAGGGGTTATTTATGGAGAGCTCCATGGTGGCCTAAGGTAGGGAGCTGCACTTTGGAGGCAGAAAGGAGGCAGACACATGGAGGGTGAGGGTGCTGAGTTCATGAGCAAGGGTGAAGCCCCTCCTGACCATGGAGGGAGGTCCTCCTGGGGAACAGCCACCCTGTGGCCCATGCTCACCTCTCTGCCTCTCTACCCACACAGGCGGAACAACCAAACAATGACTCAGATTTGGACCAGGATGCAGATCTAGCCTACAACAGTCTGAAGGTAAGATTCTTGGAAGACAAGCTTCTTTAACTCCCCCTGCAGAGGTCCGGAGATGACACTGGGCAGCAGCAAACCCAGTCCTGAGCTCCTGTCCGCTCTAAGTGGAGCCATCGGCGCACATTTTCCTCTTCCTGCATTTGTTTCTTCATCTTCGAAATGAAGGAAAATCTGTATGGTGGCTCAGATGGCAAAGAATCTGCCTGCCATGCAGGAGCCCTGGTTTCTGTCGCTGGGTCAGGAAGATCCCCTGGAGAAGGGAATGGCTACCACTCCAGTATTCTTGCCTGGAGAAAATCCCATGGATAAGAGGAGCCTGGCAGGGTTGCAAAGAGTCAGACACGACTGAGCGACTAACAGACATTCTGTATGAAACTATATATGCTCATAGGAAATTGTTCCCTCTATACAACACCCCCGGCCCCAAATTTGCCAGTTTTCCACACCAAACAATTCTCCAGTTCTCTGTGGACACCAATTAGGTGCCTTTCAATTAAATTCAGTTCTGGTACAAACTACTGAGAGTTAACACAGAAATGCCCACGTGGGTGGTGGAGTGGTGGGAACTACCCTATACCAGCCTCTGAACTCACCTTCTCTGCTCCACCCTCAGTTTCCTCATTCATTAAGGAAAGGGGTTTTACCCAGTCACCTCTCAGCTCTGTGATCCTATGGCTCTGTAACAAGTGTGAAACCAATGCCCACTTACCCATGTTCTTGGTTTTCTCTGGGAATTTTTGAATTCCATGTATTCCAGGACCCTGTCAGCAATTTATATAAAATCATCAGACTTTAAATTGCCTGATTTCATCTTAAACAGAAAGTTAAATATTTTGCCTTGAAATTTTAAATACATTCCAAAACTGAGTTTCAATGGTATTGTTGGCTCTGTACATAGGCAATTTTTTTCTCTGCCAGCACTGGCAGTTGGTGGCTTTCTGNTTCATCTTAAACAGAAAGTTAAATATTTTGCCTTGAAATTTTAAATACATTCCAAAACTGAGTTTCAATGGTATTGTTGGCTCTGTACATAGGCAATTTTTTTCTCTGCCAGCACTGGCAGTTGGTGGCTTTCTGTATGACCAAAACAATGTTCTTGGTCTGTTCTCCAACAACAGTCCATGTGATGCTCCTTAGAAGACAGGGGCAGAAAAGCCTCTCTAGACAAATAAATTTAGGACGTTGCGGTTTAGTCGCTAAGTCGTGTCTGACTCTCATGATCCCCATGGACTGTAGCCCACCTGGCTCCTCTGTCTATTGGATTTCCCAGACAAGAATACTGGAGTGGGTTGCCGTTTCCTTCTCCACGAGATCTTCCAGATCCAGGGATCGAACTCGGGTCTCCTGCATCGCAGGCAGATTCTTTACCACTGAGCCACCAGGGTTAGGATATCCAGCATTTTATATTCCCTTTTATAAAGTCAAAAAATACATTAACATACTAGGGTTCCAGGAAGTCCTGTGTTAACAGCATGTGGAAACTTTAACCCAGTGCTTCCACAAGGAAAGATTTTGTAGCTGGATGCACCTAGAAATATGAGCCCTGCTGAATCACTGAGAGGAATGCAACCCTAGTAGGGGTATCGTGTTGGATCCTTAGCACCAATAACTTGGGATTGTGGGTTCAAGTCCTGACTCTGACCTGTTGCTGACATAGTCAGAACCTCTCTGTGGCCCGTCATTAAAATGGGAAGGTTGTGTTAGCTTCCTAGGTGGGCGAGGAAGGTGGTGAAGGAGGAAGCCCTCCTGGGGAGGGTGCCCTGACCCCAGGCAGTGACGAGGATGTCCCTCTGGGCCGCCTTCCAGAGGCAGGAGCTGGAGTCGGAGAACAAGAAGCTGAAGAATGAGCTGAACGAGCTGCGGAAAGCCGTGGCCGACCAAGCCTCGGAGCACAGCCCCGCCGCCGCCGGCACCCCCGACAGCTACAGCCTCCTGCTGAACCAGCTCCGGCTGGCCAACGAGGAGCTGGAGGTGCGCAAGGAGGAGGTTCTCATCCTGCGGACCCAGATCGTGAGCGCCGACCAGCGCCGCCTGGCGGGCAAGGGCTCGGTGAGGAGGGGCCCGCGGGCCGTTGCGGGGAGAGCTGCTTGCCTTGTGTCTTCACCCGGGAGGGTCTTCAACCTACAAGACCAGAGTCTTTTGCTCTAAAGTCACCTCTAAAAGTAGAGCGAGGTACCTTCTGTCCTCCCAGCATGACTTCACAGGATACTTTGCTGGAAGCTTCTAGAATCTTCTGAAGTTACTCCATAGGCTCATGTTCAGAAGGAGCGAGGCACAGAATCAGAGTGCACCTGGGCCACGGCCTGAGCAGCTCCCCTCTGGCTTGCTTTTTCATCTTAGGTCTTGTCCTTTGTTACTTATTTGTTTCCCAGGTGGAGAAAGTCTTTCCTCTCTCTCTTAGCCTCCCCAGGTAACAAGTCAAATGCAGCATTTGTTCCTAACGTTTCTGTCTCCTGCACAGATCGAGGAGCGGGAAGGGAGGGGTCGGGCCCCCCTGGGCCGCTCTGGGCGTGGGCCTGGGGTGGTGTGATGGGACAGGTGTGTGGGCAGCACTATTTGTGGGGGACGCCACACTGAGACAGACTTCAGCTGTGTCCTCAGCATTCGGGGAGCTTTCTCCTCCAGGGACACCTTGCCTCTCTCCACCCCATCATACCAGCCCCCCTTCTCTGCACTTGCTGTCTTTCATAGCCAGGCCTTATTGCTCCCTGCCTCTCCCCACGTGATTCTAAAATCCCATTCCTGCCAGGGATTAACTCCTGTTATCTGAAGTCTTCCTGGGCCTTCATCTTTTCCCAAAGGCTCATTTTTTTTCCATCTCTGTGTATGACATCATTTCATGACAGTTGTTCGTATAACCAGAGTTCGTTCGTTCTTAATCGGGGATCTCTTAGGAGCCAAACATCAATGCCCGAACCAGTTGGCCGAACAGCGAGAAGCACGTGGATCAGGAAGATGCCATCGAGGCCTATCACGGGGTCTGCCAGACTAACAGGTAAGTCCCATCTCGCAGTGACTGTGCCAGGGGGAGGCGATGACCGGGCAGGGGCCCTGCCCAGCCTGGCACATGAGGCCCCTCCGCAGGCACTGACCGTGTGCTCGATATCGGTTATTATAGGAGATAAGTGGGGAGGAGCAGAGTCGGTGAGTCCCATGCGCTGAAGTAGCCTGCTGTTAGTGTCAGCAAGACTCCAGTGAACACCCCTGGAGCATCTAGAACCCAGATCCTCTGAGAAGCCCTGGGGAAGGGAGCTCCCCAGGGAGACTTGACAGGAGCAGAGGGAGGCCTAACCGGGAGTGACTTCTCTTGTAGAAACGGGAACAGGCATCAAGTGAGTCCACCTGAGTGGTAGCAGGGAGTCTGCCGCAGCTGCTCCCTGCCCTCCTGCCATCTTCACCAGCCCGGCTGGTGAACGACGTGACGGTGGGCCCCGTGCCCTGTCATTTAAGACATGGAACCCATGCCGGGCCCTGCAGAGGTTGAATGGGAGACTCTGACCACTGCCAGGCTGGCTAAAGTGAGATTTCCCAGGACTTCAGTGAACTGATTACCTCTGGTTCTCACTCAAGGATGAGCTACCCGGGATTAAGGCAAAAGAGAGTGATGAGAGAGGCAGAGGACACAGGATGGAGCAGGGCCCTCATGGTAGCGCACCCGAGTGCGTGAGAGCATGCACAGGGATCCGTCTGCTCACCAGCTCTTGAGTGACAGCGCTCAGCTTCCTGTCTGACCTGGGGACAGTCGCAGCAGCCTGCCGCACAGGGTGACTGGGATTAGGCGAGTTCGTCCGCGCGTAGCTCTCTGAGTGATTCCTGCCCGTGAAATCACGCAGTCAGCACAGTGTCAGTGTAGCCACTGTTAGTCGCTGTGCCTCCTTCTGCTTCCTGGGCACTTGCGTAAAGTTGGAACTGGCTCATTCCCCTGGCCACCTTTCTCTCTCCCTGAATGTTGATCAGTCATTAAGCATTTATTCAAAATTGCAGGAAGCAGAAGTTGTCAGCAGGGGGCCCTGGGAGTGCATGGTGAACCCATTGGTAGGAAGATCACTGAAAGACTTGAGGATTGCCCAGGGCTTTGATTCCATCTCCTCTTTCTGCCCAAGAGGAAGCTGCGCACTCAGGCCACACAGCAGGTCCATAGCTGAGTCAGGGTGGAAGGTGAAAGGCCTGACACCCAGGCTGGGCTGCTTCCAGCTGACTGCATAGGTGATAAGAAGGTAAAGGTATTTTCTCAGGCCCCCAGGAGGAAACCATTTATTTCAAGAGAGCCATAATTCTTTTCCATAAAAGGAAGGCAAGAAGAAAACGAATGTGAATTTCTGCATGCCAAAACCGCAGTCAAAAATTTAGTCATTTTAAATTATCTTGGGTGAAGATAAGAAATGAGATGAATGAGAAAAAGGAGCACAGATGACATTTAAAAAAAGAAGAAAACAGGGAGCTTGGTCTTGACGGGGGAGTGGGAATATCTTTCTGATCTCCCTTTTATTCATCCAGATGGTTTGTCAGAGATCCAGTCTCAAGTCAAGGTTTTCCCAGGGCATGCTTAATACCCTGGATTCGTCTTCCTTGGCAGCAATGATAATGATGGTGATAAAATAAAAATAGCTTTTCTTATATCTTAAAATAATCCCATACCCAGCAAGCCCAGGGTACAATAGGGAACTAATAGCCTGTGAAGCCAAGTTAAGTACAGGAAGGAGCCCCTGCCTCCAGGAGGGGAAGCCAGAGGAACCAGTTCTCCAAGTGCCTGGAAGTGACATCAGTGGGTTTGTCAGGCTTCTGGTTCCATGAATCCCAGCGGTCCAGGAGGACAGCAGTGGGCAGGCGGGCAGGGCGGGAGGATTGGGATGTGATTGCTGGAGCCCAGCCAGCAAGTGCATCCTTTCCAGCAAAGGTGCTTTGAAGATACAGTTGCTTTCGGTCTCCTACCATTTTCCTGTGACAGAGAGTGTTCTGGCTTAAATGTAAATTGTATTATGCAGGGACAATTTCAGAGTTGGTGTGGTTGGAAAATCTATCCTCTCCCTAGAAAAGCTTACACTCATAACACTGAATTTTTCTTAGGTTTCTAGAGAGAATGTAGACACACGCACACACCCCCAACCTGATCACAGCCCCTCCAAGAGCACTGGTCCCCAGGTTCAGAACTTTTTCACCTACTAACTTTCATAGTCTATAGAGTGAGTTTTCTGATCTTTGCAACTGTGTCTTTTGTCCTCAAATGTAGGTCAAAAAGCCAGTGTTAAATATCTGCTCTGAGAATAGCCGCAGGAATAGGCATAGCACGTCTGTCTCCGAATGCTGTCTCATTTTCACATCTGGGGAACTCAGAGAAAGCCAGCATCGTTACCAGCATTTTATAAGTGGCAGAACTAGAGTAAAGAGACAGCTGGTCCATGCCCCAGAGATGGGCGGCCACAGACAGGCTGCTGTTTGGAGAGACCGTCTTTTCAGAGCTGTCTGGAGCCAAGTCCAGCAGGGAGAGTTGGGTCAGAGGGCTGGGAGACAGAGCTTCCTGCTGCTCTGAGGCCGGCCTCACCTCTGGGCATGAACCAGGGGGTTCGCAGAGCTGCCGGGGGCAGGGGTGTGGCCAGGGCTCAGGCCTGGCTCCAGGAACTGGTTCCCTTAGTTGCTGGCCAGTTCCACCCACACTTCGCCAAGGCAGTGGACTTAGGGTGCATTCTTGGACCCTTCCTCAGGTCCCAGGAAGTCTCCTCGAAGGCCCCTCCACCCAGCAGTTGCCAGGAAATGACTGGAGGCCTGGGCATGAGAGCAGCTTTGCCACTGCCACCTGGGCTTGGGCAGCTGGCGGGCAGGGAATGTTACTCACCCCCTAAGGGGCCTGTGCAGGACAGTGGAGACCTTATCCCACCAGGGAGCGGTTTGCACAGCCGCCTTGGGGTGGGGGAGCTTGGAGTTAGGGTTCCTTTGGCCTGGAGCCCCAGTGGCTCTCCTGCTAGGCGGAGTGGAGAAGGGGAACTTGATTCTGCTCAGCTCGTCTCACAGACCCAGCTCAGTTGCTCTTGCCTAAAAGTTCTCAGCTTTTTCCCTAACGGTCCCCAAATGCTCTTGGCCCTGAGCCATCAGCACAGTTTGCTGTGATTCCACAGCATAACCATACCTGTCCACAAGCTGTTCCCCGCTGCATGGCCAGGCCTGTCTGTGGTCTCAACATCCCTCTCATTTCTGGTATTGGGGGAGCCATCTCCCGTTTCTCAGAGGCCCCAGAATCTCCTGGGCAGTGGGGTAGAAAGTCTGGGTGGGAACTAAAGAGGGAGCACAAAGCGGTCTTTGTAAAATTGGGACACTGACTGTCTCCGAGCTGGAAGGAACCTCGCCTGTTCTGTCCACAGGACGGCAGGCTCTTTACACTGGATCAGGGGCTGGTGGTTGGGTCCTGGTTTTCACAGTCCCCACAGATGCAAAGTCATATTATCCAGGCCTTTCCTGGTACACAACATTACAGTTTTAGGTTGTATAATTATAGATCTGGAAGAAACTTCCCAGATAACTCAGCTGAACACTTTAACTTTACACCTGAAGACACAGGCTCAGGCGTGTGGGTGGCTAGCCCAGGTAGGAGCTTGTTAGCCGAGGGCAGTGGCTGCCATGTCTTGCCACCTCCTGTGTTCTGGGACTCTGCCTGCTCCTTACTCATGTGTGTGTCTGTGGCCTCTTTGGGAACAAGGCTCAGCACAGTGAGACATACACAGGACATTCTCCATGAATATCAGTTCAGTTCAGTCACTCAGTCCTGTCCAACTCTTTGTGACCCCATGGACTGCAGCACACCAGGCCTCCCTGTCCATCCCCAACTCCTGGAGTTTACTCAAACTTATGTCCATCACGTCGATGCCATCCAACCATCTCATCCTCTGTCGTCCCTTTCTCCTCCTGCCTTCAATCTTGCCCAGCACCAAGAATATATAGGTTGATATTAAGTGACATCAAGGGCTTATAACATTTAAGAAGTAAATTCCTGTGAGCTTGTTTGGGGTTTTTCTTCTTAAGCCCCCAGATGGCCCTCTCTCCCCAGCTTGTCACCTGCCCCCGCCTAGCGGTGTGGAAGGAGGGGAGGGAGACCCTGTCTTGGGGAGCAAAAGACAGGCCTGGAGCTGGTTGAGTGGTTCTTAATTTACTCGTGTGCCTGACTTCCAGAGCTCTGTGGGATGACTGAGCCGCACGGTTCTCTACTCCAATCTTTGTGCCCCATGCGTGGCGTGTTACAAGAACGAGGGATGCGACCTTCCTCGCTGCAGGGCTCAGCAGCACATGTGCCCCCCTCCCCGAGAGGGCGTCTCCTGGGAGCTGCAGGGGTGCAGAGACCCTCCGAGGCCCGGCAGCCCCTCCTCAGGGTCTGCAGGACCCAGCTAGGAAAGCACCTGAGAGCAAAGTCAGGAGACCTTGGGTTCTAGCCCGGGGTCAGTGTCAGGCAGGTAGCCTCACCCTTGGTGTGTCTACCCATGTGGAGATGAGATAGTCAGGGATCCCCAGGGGCCCCTTCAGAAACAAACACTGCGCCCACCTCTGGGCCCGACCCCACGCCGGTCATCGCTGTGCCTGGAGTTGTGCCGGTGACCTGCCCTCTGGGTTAACGCCACTAACACGGCAGCCACCAAAAGGCCCACGTTCAGTGTTAACACCTGAGAAGGGGAAGGCCTACGCTCTCAGTTGCCCCCTCACACAGCCCAGGCCACATGTGGATGTGCAGGGGGAGTGGGACACATGTGTCAGTTGGCGGGGTGGGGGGTGCAGGGAGCTGGTGCAATCTGGGGAAGCCAGGCCCCGGGGAGGCACTGGGGCCCTGACTCGGGGAGGTCCCAGGGCACACACCCAGCTGGCGGGAGGCAAGCGTGGGCAGGAAGCAGAGGCCACAGAGCCTGCCCATCACTAGCGCTCCCTTGGCTCATTCTGGACACTGCAGAATCGGGCCTGTGCTAGGTGTGATGAGCTCTGCCTGGGAGGCGGCCTGTGTGAGCCCTGCCGGGGCTG